TTCCGTTTCATTTACCTACACGGAAAGGTAATAGTTAATATTTTAACGATAAAATTCTTAAAAAATCATAAATTGTATTCAAAAGAAATTATTTATTAAAGGCAAAACATCAAGTCCCGACAGGCGCGCGCGTGACACTCGACTGATATAATACCCGCCGGCGGGGCGCTTCGCTGTAGGTAATTATCGGATGTACCGCGCGGAGTGAGCCAGGCCTGGTCATACCCAACTTCTGGCCGAGGGGGAANGTATTGTATTATCTGTGCTCTGACGCTCGGATTCGGATTTGGCGGGCTTGAGTTTCGCGGGTTCGCGCGCTCACTCGGCGCGCTCTTTTCAACGGCCGCCGCGCTTTGTGATCCGCGGAACTCGACCTTATTGACCAGTCGCGCCCTTTGCCTCGACGCGTGCGAACGAGCTATCGTTTTAATGGTTATAAATTATTAATGTAACTCGGCCACTACACACGTTAATTATTTTTTTAAACGTTTTGTGCGTCAGAGTTGATGGAAATAATTTTAAAATATTATTGTTTTGTATACAAACGAATACCTACACCTGTAAGTTTCAAGGTTCATTATGTACGACTTAGTATCTATTTAGAGTCTGTGAACATAATAATATGAAATCGAATGGGAAAACAATCGGCAATAACAATCAGTGTTGTTTCTGAAAATGACTTGAGTCGTTATTACTTTTATCAATAACTTTACCTACTTATACCTAATCGGAGTAAGTAACTACTAGGTACCTATTAATGACTAACTAATAATTTAGAATAGTAAATTGTTTTTATTTATGAAATACTGCAATGAACAGTAGGTACAATGTATCTCGAGCTTTTTATGATTTTATTTAAAAGTCCAAAAATCAAATCCGGGTGTTTTATCGGCTAATATCTTGTTCAGGATAATTAATGAATATAATTTTCCACTTTAATTGCTATAATATTCAATCACAAGGAGGTACATCTTAAGCACATGAGTAGGTATGCCTATATGAGTATGTGACTTAGCTATGTATGAATTTAATCTGCTTCTGCATAATCCCGGATATCCGGGACAGGGACGAATTTGAAACCTTAAGGAGATACTTAGGACCTAAGTAACTACTTTAAGGATTAATTAAAAGAGTTTTATGTAACTTACAAATGAAATATAAGTTTTTTTTTGTAATTTCTTTTTTGTAAAGCAAGCAATAAACGATTTTTTATTATTTATTATTATTAAATGAAAAACTGGAATAGGAGATACAGAACTTTACCATAAAAGATAATGATTTTATCAAAGCGATCGATAAATTATCGAGAGGTTCTTATATCCTACATATTCCTACCTAACACAGTTACTGCGTTTCCTTAACATGTTTGGTTGCCGTTATTTATTATTTAGGACTTCATTTAATTTTGTCCTTATTCCAGGATGAGTGACCACCATGACGCTTTCCACGAGCCGGCAGCAGTTCCTGGCGTACGAGTCTCAAACCCCTGAAGATATCCAATATGGCCGCCGTGGGGGCATCTTCATCTCCACCTGCGTCTGTGTGCTGTCCATCATCAGCGCTGTTATACTAGCTGTGCTGGTCGGAGTCATTGTATACTTCATCACCTATTACAAGGTAAGACTTGCGTATGACTTTGTGTACTAGACTACCGCCTGGAGAAGTCACATGGCCACACCCGTGCTAGATTTAAGCAAATTAAATAATAGTTCTAATACGTTATCATTTTAATCCTGGCCCTAAAGTTCATTTTTAACGTGACTCCGATCTATCGCGTTTCGCGTATTAATCTTCGAGTGTTTTTATAAACCTAAAGTTTTTATTTAAAACATAAACAAACGTCTAAAGTTCACTACATAAATTAATTGTAAATAATGATAATTACATTACAGAATTAAATATCATTCTTTTGCTGAATTTTAATCAGTTCCGAAATCGAATGTTGATTGAACTCTGATTTCATAATTTTAACCTTTGACATCGTTTGTTCAGGGGCCGTAAAAAACTAAAAAAGTCTAACGTCAAAATGACAGGCGAAAAGTTGTGCGGTTTTATTTTCGTGATGTAAATTTGAAATTTTATTAATTTTAGAGGAACAAATACCAAAATGTGTGGCTTTAAATGTACTAAAGTTATAATTGTATAGTTTACATTTAATTTTAACAGTGATAAGCCTTAGTTAAACGTGAAAATGTGGTCGAAAGTATTCATCATCGTAGTTTTAGTAATCGTCGCTTTTATAAATGGAAATAAAATTGTAAGTACAAATTGTGAACTCAAACTCCTATATTGAATATTACACTACATTTCAAGAATAAATTCCATGCTATTCTCGTACTTAAATGAATGTACAAGAGTGTTATTTGGACCATGTGTGTTATCTTGTTTTGATTTACTTTTCCTTGTTCCCTATGTTCTGAAATACCCAAAGACTTTGATTTATTGCGATTTTATATTGCAGTTTTAATTAATTAAATTTTACCCCTTTTAATTTATTTAAATATCTCTATTCTATTTTTTTTAAATAAACTAACAATAAAATTGTAATTCTAAAACATTATTGTTTATTTTGTTATTTTCAGGTGGCTCAGGAGACATCAACATCTGAATTCTGGGATGATACGGAACCATTCGGTGCCAGTGGGCCTTCTCCAGAGCTGAGACTGCCCTCTAGTGTAGTCCCAAGCTTCTACCGACTCAAACTGCACACAGACTTAGAGAGCTCTAACTTCACCGGAGAAGTATACATCACTATTCGGGCCAATAAACCAGTAAAAGAAATCATATTACACTCAAAAAACCTCAGTATTAACGGAAATGCCAGACTCACTGAACAGATTTATGAGAAAGTTGAAATGCTTCATGACAGAACGAAACGTCAGATTAATGAGACAGCTGTAGACAGCAATGTAACTGCAAGTATTAATGAGTCAGAAATTATTACGACTACAGCGAATGTGTTGGCTGAAAATGTGACAGAAGCTATAGAAACAACTACGCAAATAGTGACTGAACCACCTGTTGCTCCGGTAGATACTCAAGTGACACATAGCAGCGTGCGTAATATAAAAATACTGTCAATAATAGAAGCTACCGGTGACAGACTGATCTTAAAATTGGAAACAGCACTCACTCCTAATGTTGATTATACTTTAGAATTGCCATTTAGCGGTCAAATCTCAAATTCATTGACCGGTTTCTATAAAAGTACTTATAAGAATGCCAAAAATGAAACCAAGTAAGTAACTTTCTGTATTGAATTATGATTTTTTTGCAACTGATTTATTATTATTAATGTATAAAATATCTACTTATTGTGTAAAAAATTTAATAAGGAATATTGATAACAATAAAAAATATTATATTATGCAATTAGGAAACAAACAGATATAGCACAATCATGCAAAACTATGAAAGAAAGTTATTTTTGTTTCAACATCCTTATCATATCTCTATTGATTGTTGATTACATTTCTTGCAGGAAGTTGGGTGTCACCCAGTTTGAACCCACCTCAGCCAGGGCTGCGTTCCCATGTTTTGACGAGCCAGCATTCAAAGCCATGTTTGAGATCAGTATTGCACACCCAGAAAACATCAGTGTGCTTTCCAATATGAAGGTTTCTACCGAAGAGAACATGTAAGTGTATTTAATAATCAAGTTTTCTTTTTATTAATCTTGAATTTTTCAGAACTGTCCCTTTTCTCCTGATGAATACTGTGTTTAATAAATAACTCGTTAGACATCTCAACCCCCCCCCCCCCCCCTCTCTCCTGTCTCTTTCCCTTCTGTTTTTCTCTGAAGTCTTCTATTTTTGTTAACCTCTCATCTGTTAATATAATTTACAAGTTTTTAACTGAACCAAGCCAACTATTTTTTTTCTATTACAGCGCCAATGAACCTGGCTGGAAATGGACCCACTTCGACCGATCCGTTAACATGTCGACATATCTCGTCGCTTACGTTTTATCAGACTTCAAGTCCTTAGAAACCACTTACTTGAGCAAAGACAATGTAACCAAGCCCATTCGAATTTGGACCAGACCTGAGCTGATCGAAAAGGCGAACTACGCCCTGAACATCACTCCGAAACTGTTGAGTTACTATGAAGAAGTGTTTGGAGTTCCATATGCTTTGGAGAAGCTGGATCTTATCGCGATTCCGGATTTCTCCAGTGGAGCTATGGAAAATTGGGGCCTTATTACTTTTAGGTAAAGTTACTTTTCGTGTATTAAAACAGTTTTTAAGTGTAAACGGATCTAGCAATGAGGATCATTTCGATTTTTAGCTGTGAATGCAGAATTGTAGGGCTAAGAAATCCTTAATACACAGTCCAAAAATTTTTGTTCTACGACAAAAATTGACGAAGTTATGGCCAAATTACTAAAAAAGTTCACTGACCGCCCGGCGCGAGGACGATGACGTCACTATATCCGATCCGAACGCTGCCGGCGTACTGCGTGGATAGAAAATATTTTTTTCTAGCCAAACTATTAGTTTTAGAGAAAAACTTGTAATGACATTTATTCATCAGAATAAAGTAAGCTATCGATAGGTAATTTTAAAAAATAGAAATTGTTAAAAATAACGCAAAAAATCCATACGCTCATACGATTCAATGGAACGCAGAGACGCGATTGGGGTCTCCGCGGTGGTATATTTGGCGATTTATTCAAATAAAGTGTTCATAAGTGTTGTTAGAGTCATATCTTCTTCCAAGTAAAATATAAAAATGTGTAAGTATTAATTTATTTACTTCTAACAATAAGGTATAGCTGAGGCAGATACACTCTGCCTAGGCTACAAGACATTGCTATGAAGATCTACCTGTTATTTAGTTTTTCTGAGTTAAGCCTACGTACCTACCTATCTAAAAGAAAGAAAGAAAGATATTCGCCGTTCCCATGGGCGGGCCAGCTGCTGCAGGAAAGGACAGCTGCTCCCTCCTGGAAATCTATTTAATCTTAAGCCTAGAAGCTGGGTATGACTCCCCCGCCCCCCTCCTCTCCCCAGGTCATAAGCTGGGCATGACTTCCCCTCGGCCAGAAGTTGGGTATGATTTACACCCCCCCCCCACTCGGCCCGAAACTGGGTATGACTTGACCCCTCCCCCTTTTATTTTGATGAATAAATGTTATTAAAAGTTTTTTTCTAAAACTGATAGTTTAGCTGGAAAAAAATATTTTCCATCCCAATAGTACGCCGGCTGCGCTCGATTCGGATATAATGACGTCACGCGGCCCTGCGTACGTTGACTTTTAGCGGCAAAAACGGCCTATGTTTATTACTTAATATCTTCGTAAGTAATGGTCCGATTTGGATAATTCAAAAAGATATATCTTTCTTATGTCTTAAAGATTAACGTAGATACTAGTTTTATTGAATTTTCTACAACAGTACTGATCCTCATTGGAGGATGAAAGCAGCAATTAGAAGGACTAGTCGCCTGCTGTCATAAACCGAGGGCCTAAAGTTTAAACAAGTAAAACTTAAAATTATTTCAAATACAGGCTAGCAAACAGATGGTTAACTTTACGCCTGCACTACTTCTTCCACATTACCAGGCAAAGAAAGAAAGAAATGCCCAGAAAAGTTTATTAAATTGTTTTTTATAATTCACTAATTTCTCTCTTCCTATTGTAGGGAAACCACGCTTCTTTTCGACGAAGCGGAAAGCGTTCCCCGCGACAAGCAAAACGTCGCCATCGATATAGCTCACGAACTAGCTCACCAGTGGTTCGGCAACCTCGTCACCATGAGGTGGTGGACTGATCTCTGGCTTAACGAAGGATTTGCGACGTACATCGAATACCTAGGAGTGGACCACGTAAGTGTTATTTACCTTATATTTGACGCTACAAGCTATTAATTTGAGCTTTAGATAGGTACCGCTGATATCAAAATTGCTGCTGACATAGCTCCCAAGCACCTAAGAAAGTTAAAACTATTGAAGAAACAAAGATTACGACGTATAGTTGTTGCAATTCACGAAGACGTGTGACACTTTACACGTGTGGTGGCTCGCTACTGTTCGTTTTTTAAAAGTTTTAATAAATATTACACTATCGTTACGTAACATACATACATGTACACGTACACACACAAGTTAAGCTCACTCACCTTCGTGAGTTGCAAGAACTTTACCTACATCAAATCTAGCTGGATATTTGGCACTAATAGGGTTGTGTACATTTCCTATTTGACTGTCGGAACTATGACTAGATAATTTTTTTAAGAAGTTCTGTCTTGATTTATTAGATTCAAGTCATCATCAGGTCAGAGGCAAATGGAGAATTTGGCCTACACTCCCCACGTTCGCCAGACCTGATGTTTGCATTTATTCCTCCCTTAGCCCCCTCTTACGACTTGCTTATTTAATGTTTATTTAATTTTCTAGATCGAACCAGAATGGAACATGTTCGAATCCTTCGGGCGCGACAAGATGGATCTCCTCAGATCCGACGCGCTCAAAAACACTTCGCCCGTGTCCCGCAAAGTCATCGATGCGTCCGAAATATCGCAGAAGTTCGACGAGATATCGTATAGCAAAGGAGCCAACTTAATACGCATGCTGAATCATACGATATCGGAGGAGCTGTTCCATAAAGGACTGGTGATTTATTTGAATGATTGGTAAGACATTTTATTAGGACTTTTTTTTATTAAACATAGTCATAGGCGTGTTCTGGGTTGTTTAGTCATACACACTACACTTACAGGTATTACGATAAATAAAATTAAAATAGCATAATTGCTTTTCTCTTTATTTAGCTTAGATTCATTTCGTCTCATCTCTGATAATTTTTCTCCTTCGTTCTGCCTTCTTTTTTTGTGAACTTTTTGAACTACTCTTCTTTTGCTGTATGTAGTGTTTAAAAGTCTCTGAATTTTATAAGAGGAACTAGCTTTCCGCCCGCGGCTTCGCCCGCGTGGAATTTTGTCTGTCACAGAAAAACTTTATCGCGCGCGTCCCTGTTTCAAAAACCGGGATAAAAACTATCCTATGTTCTTTCCCGGGACTCAAACTATCTCTATGCCAAATTTCATCAAAATCGGTTGCGAGGTTTAAGCGGGAAAGCGTAACAGACAGACAGACAGACAGACAGACAGACAGAGTTACTTTCGCATTTATAATATTAGTTGGGATGTTGCATTACGTTCGATCCAAATCCGTAAAAATACGTATCTAGAAAACTAACTAAAGTAATCAGATGACAGATATCGGATCTAGTGCGTAAATTAGTTACAAATTGTTCTACGACTAGTAACTCCGCACCGAATTTTCACAGATTCGGATCGGGCTTATTACAGAATTGCTCTTCTTGTATTAAGCCACTCAGGCTCCCGTAGCTTCAATTGAAACTCAAAACCAACAAATATACTTTCAGGAAATACACAAACGCCGAAGAAAATGACCTATGGCAGGCCATGGAGAAAGCCACGCGGACGGACCCAACACTGAAAGACTTATCCGTAGTGAACTTCATGAACACTTGGACGCGACAGGCCGGTTACCCCGTTGTCAAGGTCAACAGGAACTACGAGAAAGGCCTCATTGAGATTGAACAGGTTAGTATTATTGTAGTAGACGCAATAGTCAATTGACGTTCTTTTTACGAGCTGTCAAAAAAACGGGACTATTCCCATCTCTCGTTCCCACCGCTGCAACTCCTGTGTAGCCAGGATCTACAGCTTGACCTCTAATTTAAGTTGTTATTTATTTGTAACGCTTTTAATACTCGCATCAAATAAATACTTTCTTTCTTTCTTTCTAATAAAAACTCAACAAGTTTAGGTCAAGTTTGTCCCGGGGGAAAGTTATGAGCTGTCAAGAGCAAATCTCGCGTAGATTTTGTTTGAAAAAGAGAACTATGACGTCATCAAGTCGCAAATACATCGTTCTTTCAAACCAAAATCTTCCGGTACTGTACGAAGACTTCCCCCAAGGATTACCACAACAACCAGTCCTGCCATATCCAGGTGCCTCCCATGACCATCGCCAGATCGTCGGTACACCTAGTGCAGCGGTTCCCAAACTTATTTAGTCTACTGCCCACTTTGAGAATAAATTATTTTTAGCGCCCCCCATTTTTGTAGTCAAGAGTCGAGCTCAGTCGGTGTCTAAAGGTCCTCCTAGTAGATGATATTATAAATCGCCTCCCAAGCCTCTACACAACGTCCCGATTTTTTTTCTGGGTCTCTTACCGCCCCCCTTTAAGCCTGCAGCGCCCACAAGGGGGCGTTATCGCCCACTTTGGGAAAGACTGACCTAGTGGAAGGCCTGCCTACACTACGTAATCCTCCGTGGTCGCCATTCGAGAACTTCCACTCAGTATCGCCAACTGGTGAGCGGTGAAGCGGTAGGAGGACTATTGCATTTGCACTCTTCTGGATGGCGCCATTGTAGAGTAGGGTCATAACAATCGCCAATGGTGCCAACTGCATAAAAATGACTACATCCGCCCAGTGGATCATTAACATGACTAAAGTACGGCCAACTAGCAGCGATACAAAAGGTCGATACGACTGTCGATTTGACAATACACCGTGTTACTTTGCATTCTTGCCATATTCACAGAGATAAAAGTAGGGAACAATACCTATTATTTAAGATAAACAAGAGACTCCCATAAAGAAAGTACACTAAGATTTTAGTAAATTTGGTTTTTCAGTACAAATTGGAATAAACCCATTTTGTCTCGCACGTTCTACAGGTGCAAGTGGAATAAACTAAGTGGGCGTGGCCTAGTTCTTAATAATCTGTTGTTTTATGGCTCTGGGTACCAGCCTTTTTATCCAGTCATAATAATTATTTTAAAATACTCTTCAGTTGATTTCAGATTTTCCTTTCTACTTTACGGGCTTAGGACCGTCAAAAATACGTAATAATTATTAGGGTTTTAATTAATTTTAACATTTTACCCTATTTTTACAAATTAATAAATTAAGTATGAAATGAAATCACCTTATTCACAATTAATTATTTATTTATAAGTTCCTACTTACAAAGTTTACGTACTGCGAAGCAAGTGTTCAAAGTGTCCTCCTTTCTGATGAAGGCACAGTCTAGCACGGCGAAGCGTAGGTTTTTCGCTTTAGTTTTCGCAACACATAAACGTTTTGTCTCACAGTTTCACTAAAACAATCCTTTCATGTAACGCGTTTACACTGTTTATCTCTTCTGCGCATACCAGTCGTTTCAAGTCACTCCAAAAATCCATTGGTGTCAGGTCCGAGGATCGTGGTGGCCAAGCTACTGGACCACTCGTCCAATCCACTGTTCACCAAACGTATTATTCGCGCACTTGACGTCCTTATTGTGGGGGAGCACCATCCTGCTGGTAGTAGAGCATTTGGTGTAACGCTAAGGGTACGTCATCAAGCATTTCGTCTAAGACGTCTTGCAGACACTCCAAGCACCATTTTGATTAAATTATTCGTTGTTTGAATACACTTCAGACATTTTTGTATTATTTATAACGTGATTTGTGATTGATGGATTTCTCAGTTTTTTACAAGTGTCAAAAAGACATTTTAAAGACAATAGATTGCAATAGATATTTAAAAATACAATAAAAAGTAAAAAAGTCTTCATCGCCATCGCCAACAAGTGATGTGCATGCGTTACGATAATTAGTGATGTGTTTAACAGATTGTCGATAAAATAAAATACTCAAGATTAAAAAAAAAAATTCGGGCATTATTTTTTTACGGATTTGTGTTCAGTATCAGTAATATAGTAACCTCTGTAAATATGGCAAGAATGCAAAGTAACACCCTGTATATTCTGTCTTTTCCCATCTTGTGTATTTGTCGTAATGTCTTGTTCTCCCCCCAAAATATGTCAAAGTCAGACGGGTTCACCCATGACATTGGGTTTGTTTACATTTGGTATCGCTTCTCGTTGGCCGTACCTACTTTAAGCAAATACTGATACCATAAACTTTTTATGTCTTTTAGAAACTCTTCACTAGCGCCTTAGACCCGTACCAGAAGATGTTAGACCAACTCTGGCACATCCCCATCAGTTATACCGGCATGGACACTCCAAAAGACCAGTGGAACACCAAACCAAGGACTTGGTTGAAGAATCGTTTCCAAGTAGTCTCGGTGCCGGTCAACAGCACAGAAGCCTTGTACGTGAACGTCGATGCTATTGGTGAGTAAAAACAATGTTCCTGATAAGTCCCTGATAGACTATCAGGAACTTATCTGGCAGATAACAGTTCTGGCACATCCCCATCAGTTATATCGGCATGGACACTCCTAAAGACCAGTGGAGTACCAAACCAAGGACTTGGTTGAAGGATCGTTTCCAAGTCGTCTCAGTACCTGTCAACAGCACAGAAGCTTTATACGTGAACGTCGATGCTATTGGTGAGTAACAAAGTCCCTGATAGGCTATCAGGAACTTATCTGGCAGATATCAGCTCTGGCACATAATATCAGTTATACCGGCATGGACACTCCTAAAGACCAGTGGAGTACCAAACCAAGGACCTGGTTGAAGAATCGTTTCCAAGTCGTCTCAGTACCGGTCAACAGCACAGAAGCTTTATACGTGAACGTCGATGCTATTGGTGAGTAAAAGGTTGTTGGTAGGATATCAGGAACTTATCTGGCAGATATCAGCTCTGGCACATCCCCATCAGTTATACCGGAATGGACACTTCTAAAGACCAGTGGAATACCAAACCCAGAACTTGGTTGAAGAATCGTTTCCAAATCGTCTCAGTATCAGTCACCAGTACAGAAGCTTTGTACGTGAATGTCGACGCTATTGGTGAGTAACAAAGTCCCTGATAGGCTGTCAGGAACTTATCTGACAGATAACAGTTCTGGCACACCCCCATCAGTTATAACGGCATGGACACTCCTAAAGACCAGTGGAGTACCAAACCAAGGACTTGGTTGAAGGATCGCTTCCAAGTCGTCTCGGTGCCCGTCAACAGTACAGAAGCTTTGTACGTGAATGTCGATGCTATTGGTGAGTAAAAACAATGTTCCTGATAAGTCCCTGATTGACTATCAGGAACTTATCTGGCAGATATCAGCTCTGGCACATAATATCAGTTATACCGGCATGGACACTCCTAAAGACCAGTGGAGTACCAAACCAAGGACCTGGTTGAAAGACCGCTTCCAAGTCGTCTCAGTGCCCGTCAACAGCACGGAAGCTTTGTACGTGAACATTGACGCTATTGGTGAGTAACAAAGTTCCTGATAAAGTCCCTGATAGACTATCAGGCATATCCCAATCAGCTACACTGGCATAGACACTTCTAGAGACCAGTGGAACACCAAACACTGAATCTGGCTCAAAGACCGTTTTCGAATCGTCTCGGTGCCGATTAAAAGCACCGAGGCTTTTCTCGTAAACATCGACGCTATTGGTGAGTGAAATGAAAGGTTCCTGGTATCAGGAACTTATCTATCAGATAAAATATAACCTTAGGAGCCAGTTTTAAAGGTCCTGAATCCTGTATAATGTCCCTGATGACCTATCAAGAACTTATCCATCAGATAAATTACACCTTTACCACAGGTTTTAGATAGAAATAAAATCTTGATACTATGCTGTACAAGTGCTGGCTTTACTCAAAAAAAATAATGGCATTCGTTTGTCATCAGGTTACTACCGCGTGAATTACGACAAGAAGAACTGGGAGCTACTGTCAGCAGCTCTCAAGTCTGGGAAAGTCCAGTCTCCCATCACGAAGGCACAGCTCATTGACGACGCCTTCAACCTGGCTAAAGCTTCGCAGCTAAACTACAGCTATGCCCTGGGTCTGACTACCTGCGTTATGAATGGAGAAGATTCGAAGATTGTCTGGGATTTGTTATTGAATAACATGGGCTTCTTGAAGTTCAATCTGAAGGCTACCGCTGGATTTGTGTATTTCCAGGTGAGATTTTGGTGTTTACTTTTTCAATCCATTTACTATATTCAAACCAAACACAATACTACCACCTATGTTATCTGTGGTATCGCGATAGGCGTGAGCTATATGGAGTAAGTTGCTTGTTTCCAGGAAAAATGTGGATGTTTAATAAAACATTCGCTGACAAGACAATAGTAAAACAAAAATGTCTGAATATGGAGTTAGTTTGTTTGAACTTTTTCCACAATAGGGTTTGACACCACCAATCAACTAACTTCCTTTTCATTAGCTGTGAAAACGCTATTATCTCATCGATTATTGTATGGCAATTCAAGCCGATGACGTCACTATTCCAAGAGACATAAAGCCTCTGGATGCCAACTTAATTGACTGACTATTCCTTTCAGAGCAATCCAAAATTCAAAACTAACACAGTGATGTTCTTACGTTTATTAATCAGAAAACATACCAACCGAATTGAGAACCTCCTTTGGTTGAAGTCTGTTAAAAATAAGTAATCTGGAAATATTTAAATTACCAGCATCTTAATTAATCCCCCAGGACTACATGCGTATAATCCTCAAGAAACAACTGGAGAAGTTGAACTACGGTCTGAACAAGCCTCGCGACGACAACGAGGCCCTGCTCATAGAGAACCTGCTTATGTGGGAGTGCTTTGTAGAGTCGCCGCGGTGTCTCAACTGGGCCCGGACAGAATTTGACAAGTGGATGAGCAACCCTGCTGTCAACCCGTAAGTAAATCGGCTATACAATGCTACTCCGACAAACGTTACTTTGACACTACGTTACTCCGACACTACTGAATATCGACATGACTTTACTCCGACACTACACTACTCAGACAAAGGCAAATAATATCCTTTGTCTGAGTAGTGTAGTATCGAAGCTACCATTACTTCAAAGAAAAATATTCGGCAATGGATTTTGAACTTTCTGTCTGACTGACAAGGTTCAAATTTGTACAAAACTCTTGCACCATTGACTGTTGATCCCCGCGCTATATCACGTGGGCCTGGACGGATTTTGACAAGTGGATGAGCAACCCTGCTGTCAACCCGTGAGTAAAATACATCAACCTACCAATGTCGAGTTCTGCAATGGATTTTGAACTTTATGTCTGAGTGATAAGGTTTGAATTTGTCCAAATCCTTCACTTCCTTGACTCTGTTGGTCCTCACGCTGCTTCACGTGGGCCCGGATGGAGTTTGACAAGTGGATGTGCAACCCTGCTGTCAACCCGTGAGTAAAGCAAAGCAAGCTGTCATAGAGATAATTCTACAGGATTTTGAAGTTTATGTCTTAGACCTAAGATTCAAAATCAGCTAAAGCTACCATTTCTTCAAAGAAAATTAATCGGCAGCAGATTTTTAACTTTATATCTTACAATTAAGGTTTAAAATCATATAAATCTCTTGTGCCCTTGACTCTATTGGTCAGCACTGCGCCACTGCCTCGCGTGTTCGCGGATTTGATTTTTGACATGCAAACAGTACTTCGTGGTAATAAGCGTCGCGAACGCAATGACACGTGTCACGTGTGACTTGAACGACAGTTAGTTCGTTATTTACTGATCAAACTTTGACAGACAGCATACTATCTTAATGTTCATGTATACGTACGATAATTAGTGGTGTGTTTAACAAATTGTCGATAAAATAAGATACTCAAGATAAAAACAAAATTTAGGGCATTATTTTTTTACTGATTCGTGTTCAGTGTCAGTAATATAGCTCTAAATTACCTCTGTAAATATGGCAAGAATGCAAAGTAACACCGTGTATTTACAAGCTTTATATTGACTTCACTTGTTAGTATGTGTGGGACAAATCTTGCAACTGAATTTAAGACCAGTTCTCCTCAACCGATGGAGCTGAAATTTGGTATACTTATTTTATCTTCTTCTTTACCCAGGATCCCAAGCTACCTGCGCTCGCTAGTATACAGCGTGGCGCTTAAGTACGGCAGCCGGCGCGAGTTCGACTTCCTATGGGGCGTGTTCCAGTCGTCAGCCGATCCTACCGTCAAGAGCCTGGCCATCAACAGCCTGCCTTCCACCAGGGAGGAGGGGCTTATCACTATGTAAGTACTAAAGCCCGGTCTGTGAGCACGTAGAGTTTTGTCCAATGACCCCAAGCTGTCCTTATCGCTCGCGCGTAATTATATTGCTGTCGCGACTGTGCGACGGGCGCCCGCAGTGAGTGTGCGAGCGCGACAGCAACATAATTACGCGCGAGCGATAAGGATGGGTAGCTTGGAGTCATTGGACAAAATTCTACGTGCTCACAGACCAGACTATAGTGTAAAAATTTGACACTAGGTTGGAGGTGGCGTTATGGCCTAACTGTTTTGCGATTCGCGGACAACTGGCGGCGTGGGGCGAGTGTCAGTAAGGTTGAAAGTCGCGCAGCAAAATCGCACCACTCCCGCGCTCGTCCAAATTTTTGCGCGGAGTATTGGAGTATTCGAATGGCCATTACACTAGCTTTTCCGCGCTTTGTTATAATACGTGTGTTCCCCTTCCAAAACCGAGAAATAAATCTTTCCTATCGATCCTACGGTCAAGAGCCTAGCCATCAACAGCCTGCCTTCCACTAGGGAGGAGGGGCTTATCACTATGTAAGTACCAGCTTTTATGCTTGTGATTGTGACAGTTTTTGTAATGCGCGTCTCAATTTCAAAAAAATCTTTTCTACCGATCTATCGATCCTTCGGTCAAGAGCATGGCCATCAACAGCCTGCCTTCCACTAAGGAAAAGAGGTTTATTACCATGTGAGTAGCTCTTACCCGTGACTTTGTCCGCATGGTTTTGGTCTGACTGTAAAATCATACAAGCTTTTTCCCACAACTCAGTCCGCATGGATTTCGGTCTGTCATAAAATGTCCTTTTCCCGCGCATTAAAAAAGCGGGATAAACTATCTCTAGACTCATCTAAATTGATTCAGTGATTGTGACTTATCAGTTGGCGCCACTATGGGGAAAGATCCCGTCATTAGCCAGTGGCTTAACAATGACGTCAACTGGTGAACACTGGAGCAGTATTAAGACTCGCATTTTCAATCACTAGGGCGGTACCACTGGCGACTAAGGTCAAGGAAATATCACTGATCAGTGGCGCCACCTAGTAAGCGCAAAAACAGTAGCTCTCTTACGTACGACATACGCCGGCTACGTAAATGATTCCAATGTAGGTTTAATGACATGTATTTTTGCTCGAAACTATACATCCTCTATTTCCTCCAGGCTCCTAGAAAAAAGCATCACCGAAATACCCAAGCAGTACGCGATCGCAGTATGGAGTTTCGACGCCACCGCCGCCACGGCAATCGCGCAAGACTTCCTCATCAACAACTTCCAAAGAGTCTACGACAAGTTTACGCAAATGGATGCCTTCATGTTCCCCGCTGTGCTAAGCGGAGCATTTGGCTTTATATCGCATACTGATGAGCTCAATAAGGTAAGGTATTTTGAACTTTAAGCCGTTGTAATACGACGCGGCTGCGGCCACGGCCTTTCTTCGTCAGTAACTTCCAAAAAGTCTACGACAACTTTACGCAGATGGATGCGTTTATGTTCCCCGCTGTACTGAGCGGAGCATTTGGCTTTATATCGCACACCGATGAGCTCAATAAGGTGAGGCATTTTGAACTTTAAGCCATTGTAATACGACGCGGCTGCGGCCACGGCCTTTCTTCGTCAGTAACTTCCAAAGAGTCTACGACAAGTTCACGCAAATGGATGCCTTCATGTTCCCCGCTGTGCTAAGCGGAGCATTCGGCTTTATATCGCATACTGATGAGCTTAATAAGGTAAGGCATTTTGAACTTTAAGCCGTTGAAATACGACACGGTTGTCACCCAAGACTTCCCCGTCAACAACTTTCAAAGAGTCTACGACAAGTTTACGCAAATGGATGCCTTCATGTTCCCAGTTGTGCTAAGCGGAGCATTTGGCTTTATATCGCACACTGATGAGCTCAATAAGGTGAGGCATTTTGAACTTTAAGCCGTTGTAATACGACGCGTCTGCGGCCACGGCCTTTCTTCGTCAGTAATTTCCAAAGAGTCTACGACAACTTAACGCAGATAGATAACTTCATATTCCCCGCTGTACTGAATGGAGCATTTGGCTTTATATCGCACACTGATGAGCTCAATAAGGTAAGGCATTTTGAACTTTAAGCCATTGTAATACGACGCGGCTGCGGCCACGGCCTTTCTTCGTCAGTAACTTCCAAAGAGTCTACGACAAGTTCACGCAAATGGATGCCTTCATGTTCCCAGCTGTACTGAGCGGAGCATTTGGCTTTATATCGCATACTGATGAACTTAATAAGGTAAGGCATTTTGAACTTTAAGCTGTTGTAATACGACGCGTCTGCGGCCACGGCCTTTCTTCGTCAGTAACTTCCAAAGAGTCTACGACAAGTTCACGCAAATGGATGCCTTTATGTTCCCGCTGTGCTAAGCGGAGCATTTGGATTTATATCGCACACTGATGAGCTCAATAAGGTGAGGCATTTTGAACTTTAAGCCGTTGTAATACGACTCAGCCGCAGCTGCGGCCTTTCTTCGTCAGTAACTTCCAAAGAGTCTACGACAAGTTCACGAAAATGGATGCCTTCATGTTCCCCGCTGTGCTAAGCGGAGCATTTGGCTTTATATCGCATACTGATGAGCTCAATAAGGTGAGGCATTTTGAACTTTAAGCCGTTGTAATATGACTCAGCCGCAGCTACGGCCTTTTTTCGTCAGTAACTTCCAAAGAGTCTACGACAAGTTTACGCAAATGGATGCCTTCATGTTCCCCGCTGTGCTAAGCGGAGCATTTGGATTTATATCGCACACCGATGAGCTCAATAAGGTAAGCCATTTTGAACTTTAAGCCGTTGTAATACAACTCAGCCGCGGCCAAGGCCGACGAGTAACTTCAGTAACTTCCTGCGAATCTAAGACAAGTTCACGCAAATGGACGCTTTTATGTTCCCCGCTGTGCTAAGCGGAGCATTCGGCTTTATATCGCACACTGATGAGCTCAATAAGGTAAGGCATTTTGAACTTTAAGCCATTGCATTACGACTCAGCCGCAGCTACGGCCTTTCTTCGTCAGTAACTTCCAAAGAGTCTACGTCAACTTTACGCAGATAGATGCCTTCATGTTCCCCGCTGTGCTAAGCGGAGCATTCGGCTTAATATCGCACACTGATGAGCTCAATAAGGTAAGCCATTTTGAACTTTAAGCCGTTGTAATACGACGCGGCTGCGGCCACGGCCTTTCTTCGTCAGTAACTTCCAAAGAGTCTACGACAAGTTCACGCAAATGGATGCCTTCATGTTCCCCGCTGTGCTAAGCGGAGCATTTGGATTTATATCGCACACTGATGAGCTCAATAAGGTAAGGCATTTTGAACTTTAAGCCGTTGTAATACGACGCGTCTGCGGCCACGGCCTTTCTTCGTCAGTAATTTCCAAAGAGTCTACGACAACTTTACGCAGATGGATGCGTTTATGTTCAACGCTGTACTGAGCGGAGCATTTGGATTTATATCGCACACTGATGAGCTCAATAAGGTGAGGCATTTTGAACTTTAAGCCGTTGTAATACGACGCAGCCGCCGCCAAGGCCGACGAGTAACTTCAGTAACTTCCTGCGAATCTAAGACAAGTTCACGCAGATGGATGCCTTCATGTTCCCCGCTGTACTGAGCGGAGCATTTGGCTTTATGTCGCACACTGATGAGCTCAATAAGGTAAGGCATTTTGAACTTTAAGCCGTTGAAATACGACAATGTTGTCACCCAAGACTTCCTCATCAACAACTTCCAAAGAGTCTACGACAAGTTCACGCAAATGGATGCCTTCATGTTCCCCGCTGTGCTAAGCGGAGCATTTGGCTTTATATCGCATACTGATGAACTTAATAAGGTAAGGCATTTTGAACTTTAAGCCATTGTAATACGACTCAGCCGCAGCTGCGGCCTTTCTTCGTCAGTAACTTCCAAAGAGTCTACGACAACTTTACGCAGATAGATGCCTTCATGTTCCCCGCTGTGCTAAGCGGAGCATTCGGCTTTATATCGCATACTGATGAGCTCAATAAGGTGAGGCATTTTGAACTTTAAGCTGTTGTAATACGACTCAGCCGCAGCCACGGCCTTTTTTCGTCAGTAACTTCCAAAGAGTCTACGACATCTTTACGCAGATAGATGCCTTCATGTTCCCCGCTGTACTGAGCGGAGCATTTGGATTTATATCGCACACTGATGAGCTCAATAAGGTGAGGCATTTTGAACTTTAAGCCGTTGTAATACGACTCAGCCGCCGCCACGGCAATCGCGCAAGACTTCCTCATCAACAACTTCCAAAGAGTCTACGACAACTTTACGCAAATGGATGCCTTCATGTTCCCCGCTGTGCTAAGCGGAGCATTTGGCTTTATATCGCACACTGATGAGCTCAATAAGGTAAGGCGTTTTGAACTTTAAGCCGTTGTATTACCACTCAGCCGCAACCACGGCCTTTCTTCGTCAGTAGCTTCCAAAGAGTCTACGACAACTTTACGCAGATAGATGCCTTCATATTCCCCGCTGTACTGAATGGAGCATTTGGCTTTATATCGCACACTGATGAGCTCAATATGATGAGGCATTTTGAACTTTAAGCCGTTGAAATACGACAATGTTGTCACCCAAGACTTTCCCGTCAACAACTTCCAAAGAGTCTACGACAAGTTCACGCAAATGGATGCCTTCATGTTCCCCGCTGTACTAAGCGGAGCATTTGGCTTTATATCGCACACCGATGAGCTCAATAAGGTGAGGCATTTTGAACTTTAAGCCACTGTAATACGACTCAGCCGCAGCTACGGCCTTTTTCGCCAGTAACTTCCAAAGAGTCTACGACAACTTTACGCAGATGGATGCCTTCATGTTCCCCGCTGTGCTAAGCGGAGCATTTGGATTTATATCGCACACGGATGAGCTCAATAAGGTAAGGCATTTTGAACTTTAAGCCATTGTAATACGTCGCAGCCGCTGCCACGGCCTTTCTTCGTCAGTAACTTCCAAAGAGTCTACGACAACTGTACGCAGATAGATGCCTTCATATTCCCCGCTGTAATGAATGGAGCATTTGGCTTTATATCGCACACCGATGAGCTCAATAAGGTAAGCCATTTTGAACTTTAAGCCGTTGTAATACGACGCGGCTGCGGCCACGGCCTTTCTTCGTCAGTAACTTCCAAAGAGTCTACGACAACTTAACGCAGATAGATGCCTTCATATTCCCCGCTGTACTGAATGGAGCATTCGGCTTTATATCGCACACTGATGAGCTCAATAAGGTAAGGCATTTTGAACTTTAAGCCGTTGCAATATGACTCAGCCGCAGCTACGGCCTTTCTTCGTCAGTAACTTCCAAAGAGTCTACGACAACTTTACGCAGATAGATGCCTTCATATTCCCCGCTGTACTGAATGAAGCATTTGGCTTTATATCGCACACTGATAAGCTCAATAAGGTAAGGCATTTTGAACTTTAAGCCGTTGTAATACGACTCAGCCGCAGCTGCGGCCTTTCTTCGTCAGTGACTTCCAAAGAGTCTACGACAAGTTCACGCAAATGGATGCCTTCATATTCCCCGCTGTAGTGAGCGGAGCATTTGGATTTATATCGCACACTGATGAGCTCAATAAGGTGAGGCATTTTGAACTTTAAGCCGTTGTAATACGACGCGGCTGCGGCCACGGCCTTTCTTCGTCAGTAACTTCCAAAGAGTCTACGACAACTTAACGCAGATAGATGCCTTCATATTCCCCGCTGTACTGAATGGAGCATTTGGATTTATATCGCACACTGATGAGCTCAATAAGGTGAGGCATTTTGAACTTTAAGCCGTTGTAATACGACGCGGCTGCGGCCACGGCCTTTCTTCGTCAGTAACTTCCAAAGAGTCTACGACAACTTAACGCAGATAGATGCCTTCATATTCCCCGCTGTACTGAATGGAGCATTTGGATTTATATCGCACCCTGAAGAGCTCAATAAGGTACTATAGACTTTCAGCTGTTAAAATAATGTTCAGACAAATAAGTTAGATCGGGACCCGGTATGTGACATTTATGGAGATTTTAATGAACACTTGACTCGTATTCGAGCCATTCATTCATTGCTAGGTGTAAAGAATCATTGCCACGCCCACTTTTCTATTTCTTGTTTTATTTGTAAAGTTGTGAATTGTCTTGATCAGTAGAAGTTTTAAGGCTATTTTTGAAACTCTAGCATTATTAACCTAAAACCCCTAATAACCAACAATATCGTAATAGCTACTTTTTACCGAACGGGTTGGATAATGAGTGGTATTTAACTAACATATTTGTATAAGGTACCCATTTGCTAACCATGTGGATCATTGTTATCTTTAAATAAATAAATTGAATTGAATATCTGTGCAGTTGAAAGCCTTCGCAACGCACCACAAGCAGCAACTGATGCCAATGTCGCAGACGCTGCAGAAGTTACTGGACACGGCCAAGCTGCGCATCAACTGGATCGACAAGTACGCGCCCAGCATCAACCAGTGGTTCCGCGATTACGTCACCAGTAAGTGATTTATACCCGTCGCTTTAAAGCAGCGGTTCCCAAACTTATTTAGTCTACTGCCCACTTTGAGAATAAATTATTTTTAGCGCCCCCCATTTTTGTAGTCAAGAGTCGAGCTCAGTCGGTGTCTAAGAATCCGCCCAAGCCTCTACACAACGTCCCGATTTTTTTTCTGGGTCTCTTACCGCCCCCCTTTAAGCCTGCAGCGCCCACAAGGGGGCGTTATCGTGCACTTTGGGAAAGACTGCTTTAAAGCATTGGACGCCATAGGGATCATCGGTGAGCCCCAAACAATAGATTTTTCTATTGAAAAAAAAATTATATATTTTATTCAGCGACACAAAACATCAAGAAAATGATTGATTGATTTCTGTTGTTTCTTGATTCTCGGCAGATATTTCTTATAATCACGCACGCGGGATTGGCATGAAATTCCGCGCCAAGGGTCACATGTAGTTTAAGTTTGTTTCTGCGAGTTGCATTTACATACTGACGAGGTCCAGTCAAAACAAACTACAGAGTTATTCATCATCATCATTTCAGCCACAGGACATCCACTCCTGAACATAGGCTTTTTTGATTTTCTACTTTCAAACATTTCACTGTCTAAAACAGTGTTTTTCAACCTGTGGGTCGCGACCCCCTGGGGGGTCGCGAAGCCTCTATAGAGGGGTCGCGAGAGGTCGTAAAAACTAACTCAGTAAAAAAAACCGGCCAAGTGCGAGTCGGGCTCGCGCACAAAGGGTTCCGTAGCAGCAAATATAACCAAAATTACAGTTAAATCAACCTATCTCAAAAACTATAAGAGATACTTTGATCAAACCAAAAATCGTTGAAAGAGTTAATTAGCATGCATCACCTCTATTTTTTTTAGAATTTTATACCCCGTAGTTATAAAAATAGAGGGGGGGGGACATACTTTTTACGACTTTGAGAGCTGATATCTCAAAAACCGTTCACTTTAAGAAAAATGTTTTTTAGAAAACTTTATATCATTTTAAAAGACCTTTCCATTGATACCCCACACGGGTATGTACATCGAAAAAAAAATTTTCATCCCTCAGTTACATGTATGGGGGGCCCCACCCCCAATTCTTTTTTTTACTATTTAGTGTCATAATTTTGTAGCGGTTCATACAACACATATTCCCATCAAATTTCATCACTGTAGTACTTATAGTTTCCGAGTAAATCGGCTGTGACAGACGGACAGACGGACAGACGGACAGACGGACAGACGGACAGACGGACATGACGAAACTATAAGGGTTCCGTTTTTGCCATTTTGGCTACGGAACCCTAAAAATCTTATAAAGATAGATTAATCCGAAATCTAATTATGCAAATGTTGTATAGATTGAAGTATTCGGTCCCTACAAACATATTTGCAACATTATAAAATGCATGAAAAAAATTGTGAACGGTCGGGGGGTCGCCAAAATTTTTTTCATACTAGGGGGGTCGTGTCATGAAAAAGGTTGAAAAACACTGGTCTAAAATATCAACACTGCGGTAAACCGCTAAAATAAATTGTGATTGTTCCAGACTCAACGACTCTAACCAATGTTACCAACACCACTACCACAGACGCCAACACACCAATTATTGGAGCCAACGGCGCCAACTCCAGTGCCAATGTTCCTGTAACGGAAAATCCTCCCGCCAATCCTGGCCTCAATATCACAGAAGTGCTTCCTAGTCAATAACTAAAGGTTTGATTTAGTCATTCAATTATCAAGTTCGAAAGGTCGGATAAAAATACAGCCGCTAAAAGTCGATATATAGATATCGATAAAAGACCTTTTGGACTGTAGCTAAATATTCGAAAATTTTACAGAAATTTTATCGAGTGTTTAACACTTTATTTGAATTTTGTTTAGGTTAAGATTATCGCTGGTTGATTTTCATCGAATAATTTAAGATCGCCCTTAATGCCTTAAAGGAGTGCGAGTGAACATTTAGAGATATTGATATTTTTAGGACAACGAAAGGGCCAAAGTTTCATTTCCATCACAATATTAATTCTATCTTGCATACTCGTAAGTTCTTAAATTAAAATATTTTTTGATAATAAAAAACTATTTTGGCAATTTTTTGCTAATCGTCGAAATCACACACTTGTTTATTATTACTTTAGAAAAATTAAAGCAAACCAGTTTGTAGATATTTGACGCAAATAAAAATAAAAACATGTTTTATTTTCTAATAATATCTTTATAGAAACATTTTAGAATTAATTTACGAAATGGCTATAAGTATCTAATAGTATAATTTATCATAAGTATGTAAGTAGGTAAAAACTACACAACGCCAAAGTGCACAGGGTGCATTTACATAATATTTAAACATAATAAATGTATTACACAAATCTAAAATAATTCTATCCATTACCTACTTATTTATTTGTACTTACAGAGAGTAATATTATTATAATAATGTATTTTGAAAGTAGTATTTTATGTGCTCTCTTAGGTGTCTTTCAATGTAAAAAATACATCATAAGTAAATACATAAAATATATTATTTATTATTATCGTTATTTTGAGGCATTTATTTATTAAGAAAGCTGTTGAATCTATGTATTATAAGCTTAAGAATATACATTAAATATTATATCGTTTTGAAAAATATAATCGAATTATTACAAAAGTCACAAAATAAAATGTTGGTCGAATACTTATTTTATTATTTATTTGTATAAGCGTTAAACTTTTGAGGCTTTTATTGAATTTATTAGATTTTGCATGTGTAAAAAGTTAAATGTAAAAATAAAAACGATTTATCATTTATTTAGTGTTTCAATTACCTTATTTACTTCAATTTATTAACTTCCACGTCTGAGAAAGAGATGGCAAGTCCGTTTGGAAGGCCTAAATCAAAATTTGTTAATAGACAGGATTGGTTTCCAAGGAAGACTTTTTATCCCGTACTAAAGCTACTTTTTCTACAACGAAATACGAAAGATTCCCGCTCTTTGAGCTGTCATATAAAAATCGATACTCGCGACAACGAAGCGCTCCGCCCGTCACTAAATTGATTTGGCGCGAAAATGTATTATAGACCGTTTACGAGGAAATAAGAACTTTACTGTGTTTAATTTAATAAAAGAATAAAAAAGAAATAAAAGATTACAAAAGAAACATATTTGAAACGCCACGTCATAACTCTCAGCAGGCAACATGGCAGCACTGGCCGAACCACTTCGCGGTAAAATCAATAATCTGCTTGTAAACAAGCCTACATGTGGGGCAAACTGTTTTGTTGCTAATACGTTTTTATACAAAATCATATACGTTATGTGTGTTCATTTCTAGTTGGTATACACTTCGTTTTGTTATGTAGTAGTGTCGTTATTTAAATCAAGTTACAAAAATGGATTCAGCAAATGTCGGATACTCTTACCACTTGCCATCAGGCGGGTGGAATTACAAGATTCGCAATACACTGTCGCAGTTCAGTGATTTGTTTAGCGAATTCAATAAATACATCGCGCCTGCATATCACCATGACCGCTGTGAAAGGTAAAAAAATAACTCTTTTATTTTTTACTGGTGTTAATTTTTTATTTTTTATGTTTACCTGTGCTCTGTTTCAGGTCCGTTCAAATGAGGATATATTCAATGCACAAAGGGGAATTTGTGATGGTTTTTATAGCATTTTTTGCTTGTTTCGGTTTGGGTGTATTCATAGGACTGGCAGGTGAGATTTTCTTTTTTATTTAATGCCTAGGCAAACTAACGCTGCTGCGTAAATGACTACCACAACCGCAATACTAGTAAACTTTCTTTTACTTGAAAATATTAAATTTCTTCACGTAAGCAGACAAATAACAGTTTCCGATTGTAAAGTCAATGCTCATAATTCAACCTTCAGCAGAAAACATAAACACGGTGCATTTGTCTCCTGCGAATCGAACTGAGTGAAGTGAGTGATTGCTGCATAATAGTAGTATTATGTAACCCTAAAGTTAGCTAGGTATCTTTAAAGAAAATATGAGATTTAATGCCAAAATAAATTACTTAATTTTAAACATTACGCGATCTCGCCTCATTGCATCTATAGAAATCTGCGGATAAATCGCAGTGTGAAAAAGCTTATGTTGCACCAAATGCTTATCTACTGAAACATATGAAACTTCGTTATATTTTTTCATACTGATATGTACTTACCAATGTCCTACCGTTTGGAGAAGTTTTAAATAAGCAGTGAATCTAATCTTAGTATGTACTTAAATCAAAAAACGTCATAAAACGTAGAACGTAGAGAACTTAAAAAAAAGATGACTTATAGGTAATTTGTGCAATACAAACGTTCTCTCTAATTAAATCTCTTCGTTCTCTACATTTTATGACGTTTTATAGAAAAGGTAAGCGAAATCTGTTACGAGTGGGCTCACCACAATAGTCGAGCGCGGCGGTGGGATTCGACCCGCGTTCGACCTTTCGCCTATCGTGGCTCTATTCTTCGTCCTCGATAGAAGATTACTATGGGCCTCATAAGAAGGCTCAAGGTCACCCAAAGAGCGATGGAGCGTGCTATGCTCGGAGTTACCCTGCGTGATCGAATCAGAAATGAGGAGATCCGTAGGAGAACCAGAGTGACTGACATAGCCCGCAGAATCGCTAAATAAAGTGGCAGTGGGCGGGGCACATAGCTCGAAGAGCTGATGGCCGCTGGGGCAGGAAAGTTCTTGAGTGGCGACCACGAGCTGGAAGACGTAGCGTGGGCAGGCCTCCCACTAGGTGGACCGACGATCTGGTGAAGGTCGCGGGAGGTACCTGGATGCAAGCGGCGCAGGACCGGTCTTTGTGGAAATCCTTGGGGGAGGCCTTTGTCCAGCAGTGGACGTCTTTCGGCTGAAACTAACGAACGATAGATTAGATTAGTTTCCTCACTGTCCCACTGTTCCCAGGGCCGTCCCCGACCATGACGACGTCGGTCGCGGCGTCGTCGCTGCTGACCAACGCCAGCGACATCTACCGCGGCCCGTTCCTGCTGCGCAGCCCAGCGCTGGGCACCCGCGTACAACAGCTGTGGCTGCTCGCCGAGATACTCACCAATAATGATGACGGCAAGTACTTTTTGTTTACGTATTTCGAACTGGCTCTTGTGTTATGTTTTTGCCCTGGAATTGTGGAGATAACTCTTTGTAACGTAATGTTTTAAATCTTTGATTAATTTATTTACTTCAACCCGGTCGAGTTAACTGCGCACCTGGCGGCCATGACGTACATCGATGCTCTGCCAGGCCTGGCTCACTCCGCGCGGTACATCCGATAATTACCTACAGCGAAGCGCCCCGCCGGCGGGTATTATATCAGTCGAGTGTCACGCGCGCGCCCGTCAGGACGCTGGCGTGCGTTGTAGTACCTAATTCTATGATCGAAGTATTATTTAAAAATGGACATAAAGACAAAGAAATATTGTGCGGCGTTCGGGTGTTTAAATTCGAAAAGAAATCTACCGGATTTATCTTTTTTTTCGCTTCCCAGAGATGCTGAAAGGTATGTTATCCATGTAGGTAATCAATAATTCTTAGGATAGTATAGGAACCTAACCTACCATGACTACTGCTCAGAATGCGTTCGTTCGTTTCAGCCAAATGACGTCCACTGCTGGACAAAGGCCTCTCCCAAGGTTTTCTATAATGAATGCGTATGAGTCATGAATGCTACATACAGTCGTGGTCAACTAATTAGGGACAGATAGAATACTAAGCAATACTAAGTGTTCATATCCTATTATTGTGAGCTTCATTCAATATTACTGGCTGTTACTTTGTAAACATATTGACTATCAAGTACTCTATTTAACAGAATACAATAACAACAAAAAAACTTACTAACTTAATAAAAAATCTTAATCAAATCACATGAATCGGTAATTATGGTACGGACGGTCTGGCCACCTAATTAGGGACGGTTAAGTTTTTCCTTCTAAATTAAAAAAATAAAAAGTAATAACTTTTATTCTGTTCATTTGTAATTTCGGCGTCAATTTGAAAAGCGATATTCTTATCTTGCGAGTTAAAAACTCATCAAATTATTAAAGGTAATGGGCTGAAAGAAAAGCAACAATGCGCTAAGTTATAATCAATCTTTATCAGTGTGGATGGCCATACCGGTAAATTGCAGATCATCTGAAATGTTCCAAAAACATGAATCTACGATGCAGTGGCTTATTTCAAAATCATGAAACCACAGAAAGTATGCCTAGAAGGAAGAGGCCAATAAAAACAACCCCACAAGATGGATCGCAGAATGGTCACTCTCGCAAAGAGAGACCCCTTTAAGGGTTTCGTTCTGATCAAGAGCGAGATTTTTGGACCAGAACCGACTGCTGGAGTATCTGCGAGGACCGTCGGAAGGCGACTGGTGGAGGCAAAGCTTGTAGGAAGAGTTCCTCGAAAAGTTCCACTACTGAAGATGGAACACAAAGAAGCAAGATTGGCGTTTGCAAGAAAGTATGGACATTAGGCTTTTGCTCAATGGATAAATGTGCTGTTTTCTGATGAAATCAAGATAAATCTTATTTCATCCGATGACAGACAATACGTGCGACGACCTGTAAAGTCCGAAATGATACCAAAGTAAACGAAGAAGCAGGTGAAACATACAGGCGGCAAAATAAAAATCTGGGACTGTTTTTCTGGACATAGAGTGTAACCTATAAAAAGAACTGAAGTTAAACTTGAGCAATTCCAATACAAATAAATATTGGAGAAAACGATGCTATCGTATGCTGAAGAAGTCTTACCAGTCTCATGAACATTTCAACACGATAACGACCCAAAACATACCGCGTACTCTGTTTAATAATTCCTAGCGCAACAGTCAGTGACGGTACTAGATTGGCCCGAAAACAACTCAGACTTAAGCCCTATAGAGCTTATGGTATGAAACGAAGGAAAAAGTTGCAGCTCAACGTACTGGCACTAAAAATCAGCATTTCGTGGCATTTAATGGTATTTGGAATAATATTTCTTTAGAAACCTGTAATGATTTTAATTGCATCCATGCCGCGCCCATGTCAAATGGTTATAACCAACAAAACCAACCATATTGGTTATAAAAATACGTTTGATGATTTTGTTTTGTATTCTATATTTATTAATGAAAACTTTTTATGTAATAAACACTTAAATAATTTCCAATTTATTTACATTTACAGTGAAAGTGTTACGTGTCCCTAATTAGTTGTCCATCCCTAGGTCAATAAATGTGTAGGTGGCAATGATTTATTTATTTTAAAAATATTGATCGCAACTAGCTAGTTTCTTTTCTGGCCTTTAAATATTTAGAATACTAGCCAAATTACTTGTTATTAATAGGCACAAGCTACAAAGCCTCGTGAAGATTTTTTTTTGGGACTGGAGAGACGGTCTTGTGTTTTAGTCATATAACGTCCCTAATTAGTTGACCACGACTGTACATACCTCATTCATTACATATAAGAAGATTAATTATTTTTTCACTAGACAGCAACCCTAACAGCGTAAGAAGAGTTCAGAGGCACGTGATAGAAAGAGACAAAACTTGTAGGTGAATAAAATTGTAGGTACGTAGTGCTGTGCGAGCTGAATTCCACTGTATCGCGTCGTAGCAAGACTCGCATTTATTTAAATCGTCTTGCGGAGTAATCCTTCTGTACCTGTACTATTACTTATTCTGTGGCTCTGGTACGGACGGGGCGAACGCGGGGAGGGTGCGGGTAAGTGGGAGGTCGCATTCCAGCGAGGTGCGCAGTTAGCTCGGTCGGGCTATACGTTACTACCTATTATGTACCTACATTATCTATTGCACTTTTTCGCGACATTTTTGTTTTGTAACCAACGATATATCGAATAGGTACCGTTATTCAATGTCGTTGTTTGTAACTCTTAAGTAATTTAGATGTGATTTTCCAACCAAAACATGTTCTTACAAAAATTTTGATATGCAATAACCAGTAAGTATTCCTGAATTTTCAGCCCACTTGCATTACGTCATAATGACGATTTATTTCTTGTTTCAGAGGAAATATTTGATAAGAGCTTCCAAATCAGTATATCAATAGATGGAGTGCTAAGCGATCATACAACCATCAATCTTATTCCAGAGAGTGAAGCTACAAATAGGTAAGTACCTTTAAGTTTTTCCAGCCCTAACCAGTGCGACTCCAGTAAGTAAGATAACCATAGCGACATCGTCCGAGTTGAAGAATGTGCTCGGTGAAAATTATATCCAGCCAATAAGGCTCATCGAATTATCTTACACTACTCAACCCAGTACTAGCCTAGCAGACATCCTGCCCGATCTTCCAAACTGGTTCGGGCGAATCTACCCATGCTCGTTTTAAAAAGTAGACATTTAGCCCGAAGCCCAGTTTCTGCATGGGCCAGATGTCCCATAATCCGCTTAGAGGTAGACTAGCAAGCAATCTTGCTACTCTATCTCTAAGCATCTGAAATGCAAAAAGTTGGAGCTTAGACCATTTGTATCCTAGAGGATCCAGCACCTGTACCTAGTGCAAGAAGGAACACTTTAACTGGCAGGTTGATACTTAGTATTTCCGTGTTTAACTCCAGCCGATAAGGCAGTTCAAACTCCTTTACTACGCCAGCACCTAAAGTGAAGAAGCAGGCGTGCGTGGAGGTTATCTCCTTAAAACCTTGGTTTTCAATGAGCCTCAAACAATATTACACAGAAACATCCATAAGCAGGTTTTAACTTTTGTAACTTTATCTCCAGCCAATAAAGCTCACACTCCCTTATCTCCCCAGGACCCAACACCTCAAATGCAAGAAGCAAGTGTGCGAGGAAGTGATGGCTCTCCACATCGGCTCGTTGGAGTATACGCACTATGTACTCAGCATCCGCCTGCACGGCCTCAAGGAATTCCACAAGCGATACTTCATCAGGGAGATCGTATTCTACGTGAGTTTAGACTTTAATGATAAGGAAATAAAAGCCAGTTTTCGGCATCAGCACATTGGTTGCCGCAAGGTGCAAGGAGTTCGTGTACGTGAGTTTAGACTTTAATGGTATGGAAATAAAAGCCAGTTTTCAGCATCAGCACGTAGGTTGCCGTAAGCTGCAAGGAGACCGTGTTCTACGTGAGTGGATTGGACCTTAATGCTATACAATTAGGATCCAGTTTTCAAGTGCTTCCGCGCGCACTATGTACTCGGCAACCTTCTGCACGGCCTCAAGGAATTCCACAAGCGATACTACATCAGGGAGATCGTGTTCTACGTGAGTTTAGACTTTAATGATATGGAAATAAAAGCCAGTTTTCAGCATCAGCACGTAGGTTGTCGTAAGCTGCAAGGAGTTCGTGTACGTGAGTTTAGACTTTAATGACATGGAAATAAAGACAAGTTTTCAGCATCAGCACGTAGGTTGCCGTAAGCTGCAAGGAGAGCGTGTTCTACGTGAGTGGATTGGACCTTAATGCTATACAATTAGGATCCAGTTTTCAAGTGCTTTCGCACGCACTATATGCTCGGCATCCGCCTGCACGGCCTCAAGGAATTCCACAAGCGATACTACATCAGGGAGATCGTATTCTACGTGAGTTTAGACTTTAATAATATGGAAATAAAAGCCAGTTTTCAGCATCAGCTCGTTGGTTCCCGCAAGCTGCAAGGAGACCGTGTTCTACGTGAATGGATTGGACCTTAATGCTATACAATTAGGATCCAGTTTTCAAGTGCTTCCGCACGCACTATGTGCTCGGCATCCGTCTGCACGGCCTCAAGGAATTCCACAAGCGATACTACATCAGGGAGATCGTGTTCTACGTGAGTTTAGACTTTAATGATATGGAAATAAAAGCCAGTTTTCAGCATCAGCACGTAGGTTGCCGTAAGCTGCAAGGAGTTCGTGTACGTGAGTTTAGACTTTAATTCCGTACAATTAAGAGCCAGTTTTCAAGTGCTTTCGCACGCACTATATGCTCGGCATCCGCCTGCACGGTCTCAAGGAATTCCACAAGCGATACTTCATCAGGGAGATCGTGTTCTACGTGAGTTTAGACTTTAATGATATGGAAATAGAAGCCAGTTTTCAGCATCAGCACGTTGATTCCCGCAAGCTGCAGGGAGAGCTTGTTCTACGTGAGTGGATTGGACCTTAATGCTATACAATTAGGATCCAGTTTTCAAGTGCTTCCGCACGCACTATGTGCTCGGCATCCTGCACGGCCTCAAGGAATTCCACAAGCGATACTACATCAGGGAGATCGTATTCTACGTGAGTTTAGACTTTAATGATATGGTAATAAAAGCCAGTTTTCAGCATCAGCAAATTGGTTGCCGCAAGGTACAAGGAGATCCTGTTCTACGTGTGTTTAGACTTTAATGCCGTACAATTAGGATCCAGTTTTCAAGTGCTTCCGCACGCACTATGTGCTCGGCATCCGTCTGCACGGCCTCAAGGAGTTCCACAAGCGATACTACATCAGGGAGATCGTGTTCTACGTGAGTTTAGACTTTAATGATATGGAAATAAAAGCCAGTTTTCAACATCAGCAAATTGGTTGCCGCAAGCTGCAAGGAGTTCGTGTACTTGAGTGTAGACTTTAACGATATGGAAATAAAAGCCAGTTTTCAGCATCAGCACGTAGGTTGCCGTAAGCTGCAAGGAGAGCGTGTTCTACGTGAGTGGATTGGACCTTAATGCTATACAATTAAGAGCCAGTTTCCAGGTGCCTCCGCACGCACTATGTGCTCGGCATCCGCCTGCACGGCCTCAAGGAGTTCCACAAGCGATACTACATCAGGGAGATCGTGTTCTACGTGAGTTTAGACTTTAATGATATGGAAATAAAAGCCAGTTTTCAGCATCAGCACATTGGTCCCCGCAAGCTGCAAGGAGATCGTATTCTACGTGAGTTCAGACTTTAATGCCGTACAATTAAGAGCCAGTTTTCAAGTGCTTCCGCACGCACTATGTGCTCGGCATCCGCCTGCACGGCCTCAAGGAGTTCCACAAGCGGTACTACATCAGGGAGATCGTGTTCTAAGTGAGTTTAGACTTTAATGATATGGAAATAGAAGCCAGTTTTCAGCATCAGCACGTAGGTTGCCGTAAGCTGCAGGAAGACTTTGTTCTACGTGAGTGGATTGGACCTTAATGCTATACAATTAGGATCCAGTTTTCAAGTGCTTCCGCGCGCACTATGTACTCGGCAACCTTCTGCACGGCCTCAAGGAATTCCACAAGCGATACTACATCAGGGAGATCGTGTTCTACGTGAGTTTAGACTTTAATGATATGGAAATAAAAGCCAGTTTTCAGCATCAGCACGTAGGTTGTCGTAAGCTGCAAGGAGTTCGTGTTTTACGTGAGTTTAGACTTTAATGATATGGAAATAAAAGCCAGTTTTCAGCATCAGCACGTAGGTTGCCGTAAGCTGCAAGGAGACCGTGTTCTACGTGAGTGGATTGGACCTTAATGCTATACAATTAGGATCCAGTTTTCAAGTGCTTCCGCACGCACTATATGCTCGGCATCCGCCTGCACGGCCTCAAGGAATTCCACAAGCGGTACTACATCAGGGAGATCGTGTTCTACGTGAGTTTAGACTTTAATGGTATGGAAATAAAAGCCAGTTTTCAGCATCAGCACATTGATTGCCGCAAGGTACAATGAAATCGTGTTCTACGTGAGTTTAGACTTAAAAGCCGTGCAATTAAAAGCCAGTTTTCAGCAAATTGGTCGAGGCGAGACGAGGTCCATGAGTGATACTACATCAGGAATTGGACCTTAATGCAATACAATTAGATTCCAGCTTCCACCGGCACGGCATCAAGGAGTTCCACAAACGGTATCAGGAAGATCATATTCTACACTAGCTTTCCGCCCGCGGCTTCGCCCGCGTGGAATTTTGTCTGTCACAGAAAAACTTTATCGCGCGCGTCCCTGTTTCAAAAACCGGGATAAAAACTATCCTATGTTCTTTCCCGGGACTCAAACTATCTCTATGCCAAATTTCATCAAAATCGGTGGTTGCGAGGTTTAAGCGGGAAAGCGTAACAGACAGACAGACAGACAGAGTTACTTTCGCATTTATAATATTAGTTGGGTTGAATGATTAGACGTTAATGCAGTACAATTAAAAGCCAGTTTCCACTGTCCAACTTCTTGGAGGTCTCCGCGAGTTCCAAGGGAAATCGTATTCTACGTGAGAGAATTGGACTTTAATGCAATGCCATTAAAGTCCAGTTTCCAGCACATCGGTTGTCCAACTTTTAGGGCCTCCGCAAGTTCCACAAGCGGTACTACATAACGAAGATCGAGTTCTATCTATGTGAGAGAATTGGACTTTATTGCTGTACACTTAAAATCCAGTTTTCAGCATACTTGTTGCCCTTTTTTGGGGAAACGATTTTGAATGTCTAATCAACTCTGATAAGACGGACAACAGCCACAATGCTTAGACGAGCTGAAAATTTTGTTCCTAGCTGTATTATAATTTTTGTTGTTCAGAAACTCACAGAACTGTTTTGAAGCTAATTTTATTATGAAACTCAATGACGCATGGTGACACGCCTGCATGTAGGTGTGTCCCTATATTTAAATGGTTATTGCCTGCTTACTCAACGTACATTCATTGAAAATATAAAAGCTCTACCTATGTAACAAAATAATAATCAGAGAAGCATACCTCTACTCCATATATCAAATTAATTGTACTCTAAATGGTTCAGGAACATTTCTCAATGGATATCCATGATCGATATTACTTTTTAAACATGGCGTCGCACTCGTAACTCGATACTGTAAACAATGGTTGCATGCATTTTAGAATGCAACCGGAGTCGTCGCGTCGAGTGGGTGTTCAACCATTAGCATTCATGATTCCGCCTGAGCGTTGAATGAACGCGGGCATTTTATGGTTAAATCTTACTTAATGAATACTAAACTATACAAATATGTAGCTGCATTTTTTGTTTTCCAATAATGTAAACAGTTTTCGTTATTCGTTCTGTATGCATGCACGATGTTGAATTTAAAACTATAGTAAAGGCTGATAAACAATAATGACTTCATACAGAAATAACAGAGGATATATTTTTTGCAGTTCAAAACCTACAACCCAGCATTTACGCAAATGGAGACGTGGTTCAGATTTATTTTTCTACTGACAACATTTACTATAGCTGTAAGTATACTTGCCTATTTTAGAAATATGCTTAGGTACTAATTACGTCTCATTTTCTTATTGATTGATGACGTCATAGTAAGATTTCATCTTGTTGCAGTGTTGGTTTGCGCATACGCTTAGAAAATATTCGACCCACGATTGGGCGATCGAGCAGAAGTGGTTGTCCATACTATTGCCGCTGCTGTTACTCTACAATGGTAAGAATTTTCTGTCCTACGTCGGGTATGAACTTAGAACATTTGCTTAATTTTATTGCCGGCAACATAAAACGGTTTATTATTCCTATTGTCGCCACTCCTCCGGCCGTCTCCACTGGGGGGGACAACGGGAATAAATCCATAAAACTTACCGCAGTAATGCAATGCAACCTTCACCGGTTACGGAGAACTGCATAACTGAGTAGAACAGTGTCCCAAATTAAATACGCGAAGGATTTTTCACATTATTTTCAGATCCGATATTCCCCCTACGGCTAGTGTCGGGAAGTTGTTTCGCCCCACTAATGGACACAGTATTCCAGACGGCTTTCCTAGCTTGCGTCATGCTGTCGTGGCTTGCGCAGTACCACGGCTTGAGACAGGTAACTTAACGATTACAGTTGACTGACCAGTTTTATCATAGACCAAACATTAAACCAAAGTGGGTGGAGCTTTCGTTGGCTTATGAGTAAAGGAATATCAAGACAAAATTCTAGGATGATTCAGTTTTTAATATTATTTTGAGTTCTTATTAGCTTATATTAAATCATCTTTGTAATATCTGGCTCGAAGGACCATACAAAATTGAATGTTAAATAAACATTATACATTGGGAGTATCTGATAAGCCCAACTAATATTTTGTTTCGACAGCTCAATGAACGCGTAGTAGATACCTATCTAGGTATCTTTATAATAGTGTTGATTATCTTTTCAGAACGAAAGGAGTTTCCTATCATTTTACCTATTCAAGGTAATAATCGTGGCGTTGGTATGGACGCCGGCGATGGTGGTCACGGTCTGGCAGAAGTATTACGCCTTCTATGACCCCACGTTCAATTATATGATGAATCCAAATTACCCTGTAAGTATTCTGATAGCACTAAATTATCCCAATTAACTATCATAAATCTTAGTTTTCATCGAATCTCAACGAAAGATGTCAGCAATTAATTTTAAAATAACTTGAAAGTATTAAAAATATTGCTAAGGGTAATTCAAAATATTCTTCATAGATGGCTCTGTACGCATTTACATCGCGCAATAGACATGATATTTTTCCATCTTTAAAATTGTGTTATCCTTGTAATCAGCCTAGCCGTGATAATAAGGGCAGCATGGCACTAGGACATTTACCAATAAATCATCTTTTGCTAATGTTTTTAGTTCTCCAGAAATCCGCCATATTATCGCGGCAAGGTGTTCAAATGTTCCATCCCTTTCAGGTTGTGAAAATAATGTTCTTCAGTGCTGTCACGTTATACTTCCTATACTTACTCGTCCTGATCGTAAAGGCGTATAGTGACCTGAGAAATATGCCTTTCTTTGGTGAGTCGTATTGCTAAGCCGTTATCTTGACGCACAAAGTTGTGTTGTCTTAATTGATAAACCAATTTATGTGTTTATTAGTGGAAGCCATTTACTCGTTTGATGTCACTTTAGAGACTAAAACTATTAATAGTCTTTGAACTATGGAGTCATATAAAATGTAAGCAATTGGGTATTTGTCACCACCACTCCCCACAACTTCATTCTCGTCTTAAAAACTTAATTAATTTAAAATTACCTGTAAATTAATATTTTTGGTTGCATTGTGATTGAAAAAGTAGTTTGAGCTGACAAAATAGTGACGTCACTGGCTAGTATTGCCATACAAAATCGATAGGAGTCTCGTTTTGACAGTTTTTAAAAGTATCCATGATTGGTGGTGGCAAATACCCTATTCTCAAGAGATCGCAGACGCAGACTATAGCTTTAGTTGCTTGCTACCAGTCCGTTGTGCGGTCACTAGGTAGTTAAATAGACAACAGCATATTGCAATTTTTCCCCTATTTTGCAAACCTACATTACAATGTAACCTGACCCCGACCTACTTACGAAATAAATGGCAATGAGGTTTGCAGTTTTGCTCATCTAGGCAATCAGTGTATTTTTGTCAGATAGCATCTCAGTAACTAAAATCCAACTACATGAAAATTAGATTTATTAGCTCAATTTAAGCGTATCAAAAACAATCAGACGTGGACTGCATTGGTTTGGTTCATATGCTATCACATGGAGCAGTCTCATTCACCAATAGTCCAGTCAATGAATGCCTTAACGACGGTGTAGAGAGAAATCCGTGGAACACAATTTCTGACCTCGGGACTTTATTTAGCCTAGTTAGGTGGTGAACATAGCAAAAGTCCCCGCCCTTAGCCCTTGTGCCGGCGGGGAGAGGGGGGTTTAAAGGTACCACTTTTCGGTTTTTCGCTTAATCCTCGGAAACTATGCGTCCTAGTGACATGACTACTATGAACCAAAAAAAGCTTATTTAATTTGCTACAGGTGAGACAGTCAAGTTTTTCTATATCTTGTATAGTTTTTGCGGCATCTGCTCTAGAAGGTCTGTAAAATTGGAAATTTTATTGTTGTCTTACATGTTCCTTTCAGGAGAAAATCGACTAAATCAACATTGAGCAAATACTATAGACATGCGGGAGCATGTTAAGCTTAGTTCCATGGAGGGAGTTTTTGCGGCATCTGCTCTAGAAGGTCTGTAAAATTGGAAATTTTATTGTTGTCTTACATGTTCCTTTCAGGAGAAAATCGACTAAATCAACATTGAGCAAACACTATAGACATGCGGGAGCATGTTAAGCTTAGTTCCATGGAGGGGACTGCACCGTGCGTATATTTAGACGAACCAATTAGAGCCACTTTTGACTCCTCATCATTCAAAAACTACTGTGCATTAACACTTCAAATTTGGCTCATGTATTGAGACTTGCAAGATGTACATCAGCTTCAAATTTCATAAATATACCTCAAACGGTTATTTAGGTATTGACGTTCAAAAATCGATATTTAGAGCACTACTATCTATCTATCACATGTGAAATGTTAAAATTTACTGGTTTTTTATTTGTTCCTTTGTATTTACATAACTACCTTTCTGGATGCCAAATTTGAACCTTCGAGGTCATCTGGAAGTAGGGTTTCTGATTTCTCGACCTATTTTTTTTCTCGAGTTTCGAGAATTCTCGAGGCCAAAGTCTCGAGTTTTCTCGGGTCTCGAGTCTTTTAATGAAAACTGCTGAAATCGGTTGAAATTTAATAAAAACACAGGTTTTTTTAATCTAATATACCTACTTTTATGCACAACAATCAATATTAGAATTTAGTACCACTTATTTTGGTAAGGAAATAAACGAAAAATAAAATCTTCTTTCATAATTAATATTTACCAATAATCATAACAAAAGTCATAAAGTCGCGGGCACTTTAAGGATAAATAACAATAAAAATCTGGAGCTACAATTGAATCACTTGTTTTCTAAAGAACACAAGTCCAAATAGCAAAATTACGATAAATAAATAAATAAATATTCAATTTTTTTTAGACTAGTCGATACCACGCTTCCACGCAATCTATGCACATGTCGTGGCAGCTTTTAATTAAGGCTACACTATAAACACGTATTGTTTTCAATGTTTTTTCCAGTTAATGGTGTATGTCTTGTTAGCTGTCCTTAAATAAATAAATAAATAGTTTTTTTATGAACAAAAAGAACTTTTTAATAAATTTTTAAATTTCTTACATATAACGACTTGAATTAACTTTACGAGGAGGCAGGAGTACCTAACCTAACGTCTGTTAGGTAAGGTAACTGTCTAGTTAACAAATTTTTCAGTCAGATTAAACATACATAATAAATATAGCATACTCGTTGGTGAACATTATTAGGTACTTAGTTTCGATTGAGATCATGACTTGCAAATCAAATCAGTTAAAAAAGGAAAGAATAGGCCAGTCTAAAAGCAACGTTGACCTATTAAATAATAAAAAACTTACTTTTGTCTAAGAAAATCGGCTTTCAAGAATATTAAAGCTTCAAAATCGAAACTCGAGAATTCTCGAGCTCCGGTAATTTTTTTCTCGTCTCGAATGAAGCCAAATTTCTCGAGTTTTCTCGAGTTCGAGAAAGCTCGAGCAGAAACCCTATCTGGAAGTGGTTAGAATTTGGTCTATAGGTCAGACATGTAGATTTTTGGACGTCAATATCTAAAGAACCGTTTGAGGCAGATTTATGAAATTTGAAACTGATGTATATCTTGTAAGTCTCCACACATGAGCCAAATTTGAAGTGTTAATGCACAGTAGTTTTTGAGTGATGAGGACTCAAAAGTGGCTCAAAGTGATTCGTCTAAATATACGCACGGTGCAGTCCCCTCGCTGGAACTAGGCTTAACATGCTCCCGCATGTCTAGAATGATTGCTCAATGTTGATTTAGTCGATTTTCTCCTGATAGGAACATGTAAGACAAAAATAAAATTTCCAATATTACAGACCTTCTAGAGCAGATGCCGCGAAAACTATACAATTTATAGAAAAACTTGTCAATCTCATCTGTAGCAAATTGAATATGATTTTTTTGGTTCAAAGTAGTCATGTCACTAGGACGCATAGTTTCCGAGGATTAAGCGAAAAACCGAAAAGTGGCACCTTTAAACCCCCCTCTCCCAGCAGGCTCAAGGGCTAAGGGCGGGGACTTTTGCTATGTTCACCTCCTAACTAGTCTAAATAAAGTCCTGAAGTCAGAAATTGTGTTCTACAGTTTTCCATCTATAATGCTTTATTGACTGGACTACAAGTCAATATTATCTAAACGAAATACTTTTTCCTCAGATGCAAAAAGGTGACGCTATTGATGGCTAATATCATCTGACCTCTAAATGCTTCTTGCAGATATAAGACTCCGCTGCCTCTCAATAGTGGTGGGCACAGTCACACTGCTAACAGCAATTCTGGCTGCCCAGGGCTGGGGCCCAGCAGCTTTGCAGGACCACTGGGCGTCCCAGCCGCGCGTCCACTACGATACTTCCGCGCCCTTCATGGCGCTCTACGGACTCTTCAACTTCAAGATGTATATACTCGCCTATCTGTTCTCGCCTGGGGGAGGCTCTATACATGGTAAGATTCGGACGGTATGGTTAAAGCTCCATATAGAACCACCATCCAGTAGACGCCACATTTCTGGAAATGAAATGTCGATAGTAATGGATATTGCACGTCCTAACACGAACTCAAACCGCAAACCATAAACTACGATAAGCCACGCCTTCTTCGTTTATGGTCTGTGGAATAATCTGATGTGTTCGATTTTCGAACAAGCTTGGTATTTGAACTAGCAGGAAAAGGGAATATGCCATCAGTTCCAAATCCTATCTACAAATATATTCATATTTTAATTCAATTTTTGTTTTTTTCACAGAAACGGCCATAACCAAAGACAACCCTGCGTTCTCTATGATCAACGACTCGGATGAAGAAGTTATTTATGGATCTGACGAGGAGAGCCGCCGACCGCTAAATTCACACCACAGAATCAGTAATGAGGAAATATAATTCCATACAACATATATTTTGCTGAAATGTATGTTTTCCTATTAAATTATTAAAATTAATGTCTTTTTTATTAAAACCTCCAAGTTACAAAACACGTGTTGGATGGTAGACATAAATATATCTACCTGAGAGAGAATATAATAAACCATCGAGACATCAGTGGTAGTAATAAGGGCAGTGCTTCTTTGACGAACTATCCTGAAACAATGGATATCAACAGCATGGTTGTTAATCTTCAATCCAGAATGAGTTTCGCAAGGACAAGACTAACATTATACATTCCGAACTTGAGAGCATAACAGGAAAATTATTTAGGTCGGTATCTAGTCGCTCCACAGACGTATTCATAACATTTTGTAGAATTAATATAATGATACACCCAGAAAGTAAAATCAACAATATTATCATAATATTCAAATAATCCAAGCAAGCAAATAAATCTATAGAGTAAATGAAAAAATAAAAATAGGGTCATTTTCGCTGACGTAGATTACATAACCGTGTCCCGCAAGTGCAAAGAATCATCTAAGTATTGAAAAAACAAGACAAAATTATTCTTATCTAAGCTGCTAGGAATCCTTTGTTGCCGATAAGCAAATCCTTGGCGAGTGCGCCTCGCTTTACTAGGAAAGCACATGAAGACAACATTATAACCCATGTCAGAGTTCCACCACCCTGTGTCTGATTGGCATTTGGAATTTGGATGCAGTATCTCCCTCCACCAGTAGTAACGTAATCGCGCAAAAGGTGTCTCAGAAATGGAAATAATTCTTCCTACTCGACCTCGTGCGCTCATTTTGCATTTCTCAATTACCAAATTCAGTCTTGTCTACGTTTAAGCATGGACCTATCCTAGGTCCATGCGTATATGCTGCTGATTAAATACAGTCTGCTGTCTGATAGTATAATTTCATAATGATAAAGAAGAACATTTCATAATGAGATAGAGCATTGCTCAAATGCTACTCAAATAGATAACATCGTACGAGACTAGTGACAATTTTACAGAAAGTTACGATCCGAGTATTAGCCAATTGGAGATGAGTCCGATGCTCCAAAATTACAAAACTAAACTCATGATAAAATCAATGAACATTTTGGAAAATTCAAAGTCAAAATAAATGGCCGATTAGGTGAAATAAGACGAAAAGGAGAATAAGCTAACATTTATATTCATAATATCAAAGGCATTAAGAAAGAAGTAAGATGAATATTTTGGAAAATTCAAAGAAGACAAAATAAATGGCCGATTGGGTGAAATAAGACGAAAACGAAAAGAATAATAAGCTAACAATAATATTCATAATATTAAAGGCATTATGAAAGAAGTGAAGAACAAACTTTACAGAATACAAAGCTCACAAAAGACGTCAAAAAAACAAACGCCGAGCACAGAACACGTCAACTCTAGTTCCGGTGCTGAGTTAAAATGAATCATCATACTCAGCCCAACTGTACACGTGAATCGATAACGTTTGTAAACCAAGTTCATAATGAAGTTCTATCATCGATTAGGTAGCTAGAACAGAATATCAGTTCTTCGTACTTTAATCAAGCACAAGAACCAGACCCCTTTTCCTGCGTACGATTATAATATAAAAGAATAAAAATAGAACGCGACAAAGTCAAATGAGTTTTAGGACCGTGAATAACCACAGCAATCAAGAAAACAATTTTGGTGCGTCTACCACTCGAAACATAAAGTACCTACTTATAAAAACTCCAACATCTGAAAAATCCTTCGGAAACGAACGCTGTGGCGCGCGCACCTGGTCACAAGCATCCCTTTATGACGTCAACGAATGAAAAAACACTTCGATAATGCTGCTCCACCACACTGCACGCACACAGCAATCACAAGCAGATACGCGTGTTCTGTACCTCTAGTAGGAAAAACTTTCGAGTTCGTTTCGTTGCGTATTCAAAGTGTCATCGAAAAATTTTGTATGAAAAATTAAACAGCGCCCCCTATATTATAGCCGCCCTAGGGGGCGCTGTTTAATTTTTCATACAAAATTTTTCGATGACACTTTGAATACGCAACGAAACGAACTCGAAAGTTTTTCCTACTAGAGGTACTGATGACAATTTTCTACGTTATTTTGCTCATGAAATAAAATTAAATAGACTATTAGGTGAAAAGGTGCTGTAAAAAACAATTAAATAAATAGAACTTTTTAATTTAGTGTCAGTGTTGTATGAATGAATATAAAATGTACAATAAATGTCTGAATAGACATGAACAGAATTAAATATTTAGTCAAATTGGCAACTAAAACTAATTATAAAAACATAAAATTATGCTACTTATAAACTATTTTACATGCTGAATGGCTTAATATTACGGAAATATCACAGCAGACCGAGTATCAGGTTACCTTACAGTCAGCCATTTTGTTATACTTGGGCGCCATTTTGTCGTCGACTCAACGCATAGCTGGGAAGACGTACGAAACAAAATAATACAAAATTATACATATTATTATTACGTCAGTTTTAATTTCAGTTAGTAAATTATCACTTCAGCTTGAATGTACAATTCACAATTAACAATAGGATTTTAGAGGCAGTATAAGACAGAAAGAGTTTTATAAGGCAGTTTATGACAGCAGTCTATTTCAAAATGATAATTTACTGACGCGAATGAAAACTGGGGTACAGACGGCAACAGACATAGCATTTAGCAGGAAGATGTTAAAAGTACACAAATCAGTTCGTTTTTTGCTCGTGATCACCAGAGTCATACACAAGAGTTTGAAATGAAACATTACACTGAACAATAAATTGTTTAATCAGCAATAAATTAGAATTAAACCTAACGCGATCGAACGGCACGCACATCATTCGAGCGATATAGTCTTTAGGTTGTTGAGGGTGTGCGCGATGAGGATGACGGGATGCGGCTGCAGCACGGCGGCGGGCAGCGGGCGCTGGCGCGCGCCGCACGGCTCGGCCGGCAGCAGCAGCGGCGTCGCCGCCGTGCGCCGCAACACCGCACCGCCGCGCATCACGCAAGCCACGCCCGCGCGCGGGTCGCAGTTTTCATTCACCGGGCTCTCGTCGTCCGAGCACAGGTCGATCACCTCGCACTCCGCCTCAACTCGCTTCAACGGGTCGCGGCCTCTCGCCTCTCCGAACACGGGCTGCTCGCAGTCCACGAATATTATGTCCTTGTCCTCCAGCTGCTGCCTCTCGGCCTCCTTCCTCGTCTCCTCGATGTGCTCGTTTATTCTTTTCAGAGACATCCTCTCCACGTCCACCGTGACCGGCCTGCATTTCAGCAGCAGCAGTTGTCCGTTTAAATCTAATATTTTCTTCTTTCTCTGATCCGTGAATGTGTGCTTTCTGTGCCAGTAGTCTATGGGCCGTCTGTATCTGATTGGAAATTGTTGATTTTTACTTTTGCTAGCTACGAATTTACTAATTGATAACGGAGTACAACAGTACCTTTCGATTCTCTCTCGAGAATAAGTCGTGTCTCGCTGTATGTTTGATTTGACGTTTTTCAAATAGGCAAGCGATGAAAACGGATATGGAGGACCTCTGTCTATGTTTGCAGCGCTTCTGATGTTTCTCGGCTTGGCATCATTAGCGGCTGCCCTGCTGGACGAAGACTGTGCTTTCTCTCCGACCGGTTGCAATTTTAACGCTGCAATGAAATCTGCCAGACCACCACCGCAGGATTCCTCTTCGTTACTGCACAGCCTCTCGTGCGCTCTCAACAGGTCAAGATTGTCAAAATGACTGTCACAGCTGTCACACAAATAGATATCGGGCGGCTCCGGCGAAGACTCCACGATCGCGATCGGTGCTCGGTCATAGTGAATGTTTTCGTTTCTGAACGTGACGAGGAGTTTGCCGCTGGGCCTGTAGTAGAGAGACGTGGTGTGGTCGCGGTTGTCGACGTACCTGAGCCGCTTGCGGGGGTAGCGCGCCAGCTGCGCGGAGAACACCAGGAGGAAGGGGCTCTTGTGGAAGTCGTAGCACCGCTTGACCAGGACCTTCAGCCGCGCCACCCAGTCCCGGGGCACCGCCGCCGGCCGCACGAACGGGTGCGAGAACTGCACGTCGTCGGGCCACCACGGGGGCTGGCGAATGTCTTTGGCGGTGTCGTGACCCCAGGAACAAGTCACCATGAAGGTGATGAACTTCTCCAGCTCCTCGGCGGTGAAGTCCGTCAGCGCCGTGGGGTTGCCGTTGGCGAAGAGAAGCGGTAAATTGGCGATCATGGTTCCCGCTATCGCCTATGGTCATCGCAGTCGGAGGGCAGTGAGCGCTTGCGATCTTGCTCGCGTTCCCACCATAACGGTTAATATATTACAGTCCATTGTGGCGATCGTGCTTGAAAACATTTACAACGCACATGTGTAGACACAAATTTGAAAAAACATAAATGGCAATTCAAAAACTGTATTCCACTCAAAACCACAATTTTGCGACGAGCGAGAGCGTTCGTTGACTAAAAAGAGAAAGATCCATAGATCCACAGAGTAGCAACCATTTAGTTCAGCCTTTTTTTGTTGCGTAGTATAATAGGCATGTCCACTACATTTTTCTTGAATATTCCAAACGAGTGATTTTATCGATATCGTGTTAGTTTATACACCTTTGTTTTACTTTGTTGAGCAGCAATTGAACATCTGCATTTTTACATATTATGACATCAATTTATATGTCAAAAATAAAAATGACGTTATTTATATGAATAAGTAACTGTAAAGTTGGTAAAGTTGATGGCAAACGCCATTCGCCAAAACAGTTAATCGATTTCGTCACAATGATGTATCGATAAAATCGGAACAGTGCATTCGAATAAATAATGAACATAACATAAATTACGAATTGATTTAATTTAGTAATTTATTGAGGACTTTGACAGTATTTATAGTAAGAATAAATATTATTGTGATTGCTGACATTATGTAGGTACTAACAGGAATAATGGAACTGGAATGGTTATTCTTTTACGTAATAATCTGAGGTAATAAATCAAACTAAATACAGCTGTTTGTGGTAAATAATTTCAAACTGGAAGTTTTGTGTAATTTGGTAGGCCCAGTCTAGATTAGTCTGGGCTATGCTAGTGAAAAATTTAGGTATGCGATCAGTGTAATTAATTTGCGTAGAAGAATATAGAATCCTGTAGTCTATGATTCATTCTATCACATCCCTCGCATTAAAAAAGTAAATGTCAAAGTCATACTGTGTAATGTCAAATGTCAACACATGTCAATAAAAAAATTCAAAGTGCAGGGCAGTGGAGATAAAATAAAATTTTATATTAAATTAATTGTTTCCTCAATAGAAATCTGTTTCATTTGGTGCTTAGTAATGAAGAGCATTGTATAAAGTTACAGTGATTAAATTTAAAATGTTATTACTTATTTAAAAAGAAAATAAACAACATGGTAAGAATTGTTTGTTTGATATGAACAAAATGTATTTATATTCAACTATTTAATCCGCTTTCCTTGTTTTATTCCAGGATAACACTTTATCTGACGGATCTTCAAGCTCTCCTTCGCAGAGTAACTTTGAAATCTTAGATTATGAGTAAGTACACAAGTAACAGATAATTGCATATGAATGATAAAACTTTGTGGTTTCTCTTTGTTCAAGGTGCATCATATAATATATTATTATCTATTTCCTACAAACATCTCATTATAAGGTCTTGTTATTAAATAACTTATCAAGGATTCTCTCAGAAGTTATCATTATTATCATTTTACTTAACAAGTTTACTCAAAACCGTTGGTAGTTTTTTAAATATCTACTAAAAAGAATCTTGAATATTGACTAATATCACTTAAACCCAACTTTTTGAATGTTTTGTTTTTATGTATTGTATGAACCTCAGAAATTAATTATTTAATTACTACCTGCAAACTAAGCAATGTCATATCTATTTAATACCCTTGATAACATGCCATGAAACGTAATATTCATTTTGTAAACAAAGAAAAATATTTTATTGCTTTTTTATGAACAGATAACAGCCCATCAAGTTAAACACTGTGGAATCTAATTTAGTTCTGATAGGTTATATTTTGCAACAAAGTTTACAATCTGTTGAACTGTTTTCTAGCTCCAATACTAATGTATAATATTACCAGTATCGCAGTTGATTTCCCAAATAAATAAATAAATTTTAATCATTAAAGGGAAATATCAGTTTGACTACTTGATTTAAAACCCTCCCTCCACCAATCCACACAGGATCCACCATTAAGAATGGCCTAAGCCAGTGCACAGTCAAGGTGGTCCCTTCAATGAGGATAAGTGTACTCAAACCTACTTTGTATTCAGTCCTTAAGTGTCAAAGTGTGGGGAATGCCTAAAAATCTGATTAACTCCCTCTAGGACAAAATGTATCCTGCCTGCCTGGACTACAAATTCCCCCTCTCAGCCACAAAATGCCCCTGATCCACAATATCCCCCCTAGGCCACAATATGCTCCTAGGCCCACAATATCCCCCTAGGCCCACAATATCCCCCTAGCCCACAAAATCCCCCTAGGCTACGTTTTACCTCCTACCTGGACCACAATATCCTCTCTGGACCAAAGCCCCACATGATTGTGATGTGGGACGTATATTACGTCTTACATCCATTTTTTTTTCTCTATAATATCTGCTTCGTATTTCGTTTCAGCCAAATGACGTCCACTGCTGGACAAAGGCCTCCCCCAAGGTTTTCCATAATGAACGGTCCTGCGCTGCCCGCATCCAGGCTCTTCTGCTTATTTAAAGCTTAATATCTAACTTTTTCTTCAGCTTCCTGCCACAGGAGTGGACATTGGATGCGCTGAGGCAGTCGGCGCTGCAGCAGCGGCTAGCGCGGCCGCGTAGCCTGGGATGGGCTATCATGCTGCACGCGCTGCCTTCAGCGCAAGGAGACGTCATCAGCAGGTATGTGACGTCATCGCTGCAGCTTCCTGCCCCGGGTATCTGGAATTTGCTAAAGTCCGGTCGCCGTCATCCAATGACCCCAAGCTACCCATCCTTATCGCTCGCGCGTAATCGCTGTCGCGACTGTGCGACGAGCGGCTGCAGTAAATGTGCGAGGATGGGTAGCTTGGGGTCATTGGACGAAATTCTATGTGCTCGGCGACCGAACTTTATCATGCTGCACGCGCTGCTTTCAACACAAGGAGACATCATCAGCAGGTATGTGTGACGTCACCGCTGCAACCTCGTGCCATAGCCTGGGCTGCCCTCAGCTCAGGGAAACGTCATCACCAGGTATACGACGTAACAGCTGCAGCTTCCTGTCGCAGAAGTGGTCTTCTGCTAGACATCGTTGGAAGTTATTTAGAGATCGTCAATTGTTTATTAAGCCGGACACAAATGTGCCGTGTTTGCGAAGATGCACCTAAACATCATTCGTAAATATTCATAAACTTTTGTGCAAACACACACATCTTATCACATTTTAGTAGTCATCTTTCTAAAACAAATATTTCAAGATGTATCTTTTGTTCTTTCAGCATAACAACCCACAGGAATTACTACAATGACTTGAAGGCCAAGCTGTCTATGGACCCGCGGGCTGTGATCGGTGATGATCCGCTGTCGCAAGATGACGAGGTAACAAATCTTATAAAATATCTTCTTAGAATATAGAGTTTTATTTATTTACACGATTAAAAATAATACCGAAACGAAACAAGTTTAATGTATTCTTAATGGCGTCATGTTATTGAAAACATACCGGATAGGCTAAAACTTAGATGACGTCACACAACCATCGTCAAAAACCTGTTAAGTCCAATTCAACTGTAAACATCAGCACATGGCCTAACAAGATAAGATAATTTTTGTAAAACAATATTAACCTCTAATAATCTCAAGTAATTGTTTACAGAGCGTATGGAAACAACACTTCTGTGATAATGAACTTAAAGCCATAATAATGCAAGACGTCGTCAGGACCTTCCCTGATGAGTTATACTTCCGTGACCAAGACGTACAGGACATGATGGTAAGATAAGTAGTTCTAATTTTTTTTTGTGAGAGAATAAACTGTCATTGACTGTTCACAGTAGGTGCACTCTATTATTGACTTTAAAACACCGGCTATTTAATCCTACCTATTGGTGATGACAAATGGAATTCTCTTTAGCACTCTGGACATATAACGCGAACATAAATCAGGGGGACCCCGTGGATTCACGGTGGTACAGGCGAAGTAACCTGTGAATATTAACAGCCTATTTGTACATGATCGCTGAAAAGAACTATAATTTTACGATTTCCCTGTTTTTAGAGGAAAACCCCTTAATCCTTAAATGCCCAGGGTCAAATTTCTTAACACCGATTGCCAGTTTCTTACGCGTAAAGTACGCAAAGTCTACGCTGATAGCCTCCGCTAAAACTCGCGTAGGCGCCCGCACGCGTTCTTTCGTTTCAGCCAAAGGACGCCCACTGCTGGACAAGATACATTTAGAAACATTATACAAGGTTATTTTTTGTATATGCGAAAGCCGAAACACGTGTGACGTATTTTAATCTTTAGAATCAGTATAAAAAAAATAAAATGATACCCTAAAAACTCACACACACACACAGTTCCAAGCTTTATTTGTTGTCCCATTATCCGCACGCGAGTGTAGACATCGTACAGCGCGCGGCACTTTCGTTGTTGACAACGCAATGTTTGTTAAGCTTTGACAACATTTTCCATACGCGCAGAACATTTTAGTAAGGTGTCCGTAAATTATGGATTTGTAAATATTATTTAGTCAAAATGTAACATGATATAAAAAATATTGCGATGGATTCTATTACTGATTCTGAACAAATAGTTTTAAGGTTTCGTATACCTACTAAAAATAACCTTGTATAAGCAATGCATGTACAAGTTTTAGTATAGACCCTAAACAGTATACGTGTATATCCAGGTCCGCATCCTATTCTTCTGGGCGCGGTCGCACGCGCACGTGGGTTACCGGCAGGGCATGCACGAGATCCTGGCTCCGGTGCTGTTTGAACTGTTCCAGGACAGGCGGTTTGCGCCCAGAGACGTGTGGTAAATACATAAATTGTTTATAAGTAAAAGTTTTCATAGCCATGAATATGTGATTTCCATATCCATCATTTATTGGCCAATCCGTGCTACCCCATGTCCAAAAACTTTTCTCTATAAATTGTTTACTTTACATGGCCAATATGTGATTTCCATGTCCATAATTTATTAGCCATACGTGCTTCCCCATGTCCAAAAACTTTTAAGTAACTCCATAAATTGTTTACTTTAAGTGGCTAATATGTGATTTCCATGTCCATAATTTTTGGCCAATTATTGTTTCCCTATGTTCACTAACTTTTCTTTTAATATGTAACTCCATAAATTGTTTACTTTTCATTGCCAATATGAGATTTCCATGTCCGTAATTTGAGGCGTCTAGTTTCAAATCCCGCTAAAACGATTTTGATAAGATTTCGAGAAATTGAAAAAAACCGCTTATCCATATAGCTTTGGCCTTAGGCAAAAAAATATATGATACGAATTATTATTGTCATCTGGCAATACTAACAGTAATTCCTATTCACCTTTAAATTAAATATAATTTGAATTATAATGAAAACTATTTTCATTTTGGCGTACTTTGTTACGAACATTCCGTTTTAATGGGATTTGAAACGGACATGTTGTATTTTAGCGGGATTTGATAAGAACAAATTTTAATGCATGAATGGCGTTCTACAATAAAGTCTAATATTAAATAACCCAAAAAATGATAAAATAAATAATTGTCCGTATAATTTGTCCATTCTATAATATTCAAAGCGATTGCACTTATTGGTTAGGTTATTAGATTAATCAAGTTTTATCAGGTTATTAAAAAAAAACAATTAAATTACAGCATGTAAATAAGAAACTTTTATAAATTATTTTCTCAATCTTGTCTTTGCCTTTTTATAACATAATATTTATTCCTAGACATCTGGACATCAGGTGATCCATCTGCTCGTTTGCCTCCTGTCACATAAAAAAAAACATCCCACGATATTTATTTATTTACTTCACTGACTGACTGTACAGGGATATAAACATACACATTACACACATACATACCTACCTACTCTCGAAACACATTACCCTCCTGCACTCGGGTAAAAAGTAACATACCTTTATAATTAAATTCGTCTAAAGGCATTGAGCTAGTGAAGTTTCTATAATCCCAGTAGTGATCACCAACACTTAATAGTAACAATAACCAACGACAGCTAAATGGTTAATTTTGCATAACACCATCAAAGCTGCTTCAAAAGTAGTTTTTTAACAAATTTCTCTTTCCGTTTCTGGCGCTCCTTGGTGCGTTTCCAGGCTATTTCATTACGTGGTTTCTTTCTTGCGTCTTTAGGGTTACATTTTTCCACGAACTGAGACAAATCTTCCATTATTTTGGATCAAAAACAATAAAAAACCGCAGCAACTTTAAGCATGTTATGAAAAAATCTCCATACTGATTTCGCAGTCACGTGACCAAAATACCGTGCTGCCATTGGTCAATCAACTTTTAGAGGGTTTTGAAAGAAACGGACGGCGTTTTAGCGGAGTTTGTAACACAAACCAAATTTTAAGTGCTAGTTTAGTAGTCTTTTAGTGAATTTTGATCGAAAATGATTGAACAGTATGATGAGAAAATTGCAGTAACGTCATTTAGAGATATAAACAGAAATTCGTTGCAGGAGCGTTTTAGCGGGTTTTGAAACTAGACGACTCATTTATGGCCAATCTATGTTTACTCATGTCCACAAACCGTTCCATAATATGAAAAAATCACTTCTTCATCTCCTCACTCGTATAGACCAAATATACCGAACTGTCCTACCCGTGACATCCACAGCGAGGCGCCACCGTCAATACCGGATCGATGCCGCGCTGGTTCCGTTTTTTGCCATGTTGGAAACGTATGATGGAACGATGGTAGTAGTACCCCCCTGTCAATGATTTTGGTGGGACAGTTCAGTTTAGGACACAGGCGACTGTGCGACGGGCGCCCGCAGTGAGTGTGCGAGCGCGACAGCAACATAATTACGCGCGAGCGATAGGGATGGGTAGCTTGGGGTCATTGGACGGGATTCTACGTGCTCACGGACCAGGCTTTAGAAGGAACCTTGAATAAAAATTTCGAAGCAAATCTACATACAGATTCTAATAAATGTTCTTTGTTTTGTTCTATTTTCCAGCGACGTTCTAAAATGTTTTTTGGACGATGACTACCTCGAGCATGACAGTTAGTAAGTATTTTTTTACATAATACGCTAGAAATTGTTATTAAAAAATAACGAGAAATGATAAACTTGTGTTCATTTACAGCATGCTTTTCAATGCGGTTATGAAGGGTCTAGAAAGATTCTACTCCACGGGCGATGTAGTTCCTTCGAAGTCTGGCCGGTTGCCTACTTCAAAAGTAGTTCATGTATGTATTGTTCCTTAAAATAATTATTATTAGTTGGGGACATAATATGAACCTATTGCTACTGAACTTAAAGTTTATTTTTGCTTGGCTATGAAATGCCACTGACAAAATGCTTTTTTTTTTCAGAATCCCAATGAAGTGGTCAGATATTTAGATAAAGTGAAGGAAGAGTTTTTAGTGCCTTTAGACCACGAGTTGGCAGCGCATTTACACGAGTGTAATATTACTATGGAGCTTTTTGGAATGTAAGTTCTGAAACATTATATTTCTCTTTTTTACTATACGAGAACTGTCATATTCTTACTCACCAAGTGGGCTTAGTGAGTTCACCAAACGTTCTCACTAGTGAGCGCGTTAAAAAAAATGAAAATGTAGGTCTTGAAAATTTCCGCTAGGAGCGCTGTACAATCCGTCATCCATTTAATGACATTTTTACGCACTCACTAGTGACGAGGTTTGATATAAACTCACTGAGCCCTCAGTTGGCACCACTATCGAGTAACGATCTTTCGCTACCTTAAGATAACCTACTCATTTGTATTTACTCTGTCTTGACGCAAAGACTCGTGGCAGGCGGGGCCATAAGTAACTTTTGAAACAGATGCACACTCGCCAATATTTTATTAATTATTACGTATTATCACAGAATAATAATAAGTACTTCGTACAGAAGATTTTCTTCGCGAAGGTATTTAAAAAAATGTATTCTCAATGTCGTTAACAATATGGTGTAATTTAGCTTGTCTCAAGAGTCGAGCACCATTTTGTTGACAAACGTCAGTGATCGGTACTGCGCCGAAGACATAGGGCTGACTTCGGTAAAGTGATGTGGGACGTGAGGTGCCAAACTGCGAAAAATGGCGGAGGAAATACATGAATAAGCATGAATTATATTTTGTGTTTCTAATATTATTCAGGCAGTTAAAAAATACTGCACAGTATTAATTGCACCACCGTTTTTACATTATGGTTTAATGTCTTTACAATGCAAATGGGTGAAGAATACGTGCGTGCGTCAATACTCGCTCGTGATTGTCCTGTCGATTTGGTATCTCAGGAGGGGTAGTCGCGCGTGTTTTGTTTTCGATGCAAACTCGCGGAGATGAACAGGTCGGGTATTATAAACAACGCTATGCCTGCCTCTGTGTGACGTCACCCATAACCAGTATGAGTGCGAGGGAAAACGTGATATGCACTGTTTTATTATTACACCGCCTGCCACGAGGCTACCTAAGTAAACTCCGACAAACTTTACTTCGACATTACGTTACTCCGACATTTCTGAATATCGACATGACTTTACTTCGACACTACACTACTCCGACAAAGGATATTCGCCTTTGTCTAAGTAGTGTAGTGTCGAAGTAAAGTCATGTCGATATTCAGTAGTGTCGGAGTAACGTAATGTCGAAGTAACGTTTGTCAGAGTTCAATTTTGCCACGAGGCTACCTAAGTAAACTCCGACAAACTTTACTTCGACATTACGTTACGTTACTCCGACATTTCTGAATATCGACATGACTTTACTTCGACACTACACTACTCCGACAAAGGATATTCGCCTTTGTCTAAGTAGTGTAGTGTCGAAGTAAAGTCATGTCGATATTCAGTAGTGTCGGAGTAACGTAATGTCGAAGTAACGTTTGTCGGAGTTCAGTTTTTGAGCCCTGCCACGCCGAGTCTAGTAACTGGCGAGCGCATATACGAGGGGCGGCTGAAAAGTTTTGAGCCTAGGGTATTAAAAATGCCGATAGAAAAGTATAAAAAATATATTTTCCTATTTAATTTCCCTCTACTACAACGGACTTCTTACATTTGTGTAAAAGATCTTTTAACTCACTGAAAAAAAATCGCAATCTTTGCCTTCGAAATGAACCTTTACGCCGCCTTCATTTCTTTGTCACTCAAAAATCTTCGTTCCTGAAGGTCTTTTTTCCAATTTGAGAATTAGACAAAATAGCTAGGGATTTGGACTAAAATATGTGGTGGGTGATTACTTTCTTGAAATCCAATTTTACCCGGGGCAAGCCATGCAACATGCGCGATGTGCGCGGGCGAATTGTCTTGCAATAACAGATTTCCTTTTGCCAGTTTGCCTCTCAATATTTCAACAACCACTTGACGCACTCTTATCAACAGTACAGTATAATAATCTCCGTTTATTGTAGTTTTTTTTAAATAGCTAGTCAATGAATAAAATTCCTCCACAATCCCAAAAATAGTGTCTATGAGCTTGGGTGTCGATCGCTCCACTTTGAATTTCCGCGGCGGCGTTTTCCCTTTTAAATCCATTGCCTTGACTCTTATTTTGACTCTACATCGTACTGCCGGATCTATTACTTATCAATAGTGACAAAGTGAGAAAAAAAATTGTTAGGATTATGTCAAAGATGTCCTAAAACTCCTGCGAAGTTGTGACTCGACGCTGGTTGTCGAGCTGAGTGAGCATTTTTGGCACCCATCGCGCGCACCCCTATTTCATGTGCAAATTAGTATGAAAATTATCGCCAATACGTTCCATGCTAATGCCTATGGCTTCAGCTATCTGTCACAGCTTAATTCGCTGATCTCTAAAGCAAGATTCATTAAATTTTCGATATTTTATTCGTTAATGGCGAAAACTGGCCGCCCTGACTTGCGGTCATCTTTTAGTGACTCCCAGCCATGCTTGAACTATCGGATCCAATCTTTCATGATGGCAAATGAAGGCCCAGACTCCCCATAAACTGTAAACATCTCATCAAATGTTACCGTCAGCGTTTTGTTCCTCTTTTTGAGGAATTTTATGACAACTGTGTACTTCAATTTCGTACATTGCGCGGATGACTGAGACATGATGATGTTTACGAATTAATTACTAAAAGCGTGATGACGCTAATGAAATGAAACTTTGTACATATACTAAGGAGGTTATTGGCAAATTAATTAAATTTAGCGCGAATCAATAATAACACTTGAAGATACTTAGGCTCAAAACTTTTCAGCCGCCCCTCGTACATTTTTATTGCAAAACAGCACCTATCCCTATGACATAAGATTATTATTAGCTTGACGTGCTGTCGTTTGTTCAATATCCCATTGATTTGCCCCCAGTCGCTGGCTACGGCTGCTATTCGGGCGAGAGTTCCCGCGCGGGGAATTAGCCCACCTGTGGGGCTTTCTATTCGCGGACGGACCAGCGTTGCCTCATCTACACTTCGTGGTCTTGGCCATGCTCATCTCCATACGGACCACACGTGAGTGTCATGACGTCATCTAGGTATGCCTTTCAACCAATTGCTGTTCATCATCATCATCACTGTTGAATATAGGCCTCTTCCAATGGTTTCCACATCGCGCTGTTGGTAGTGGTCTATATTCAGTTCCTTCCTTTATAAGGTCGTCGGTCTACCTTGTCGGTGGATGTCCTACGCTGCGTTTTCCGGTACGTTGCCACCAGGCGGCGCGCTCTCAGCGCTCATAATAATATAGCCGTCGCCCGTGTCATCATACTTTTTATCGCTATTTTTTGTGGAAAAAAAAAGAATAATAAAGTAACACTTTAGTCCTTTTATTATTCTTTTTTTTTTTCATATTTGACGATTTGTAAGCACTATTTATAATAGTCCATGCAAATAAAGGATTTTTGATTTTGTCCAGTAATGTTGTTGGTTGCCTGTTCTGTATATTCTGATGAGATATTGTTGTTTTTTTCAGTGCTGGAATCAGAAGCGGGCGGCGCCTTATCAGCTCTAATGCGTCCGTCACCGGTATCAGTGGGTCACGTGTGCGCGTTAGCGCTGCACCTGCGAGCGCCGCTCTCGCACCCGCGCCCCGCGCCGCCGCGCCGCGCGCTGACCAGGCGAGTGTCGACCTTAGCAAGGAGACTATAAGGGCGATTGTCGCAGGACGAACGTCTGATAATAGGACAACAGTCGCGTGGCAACCGCGACCTGCGCGATCGTGAATTGTTTAGATAATAGTAGCAGGCGAGTGTGCACCTTAGCGCGGAGACTATAGGGGCGATTGTTGCAAGACGAACGGCCAGTCATAGGAGCCACAGTCGCGCGGCAACCGAGCGTGATTCTACAACTCACATTGCGAGTGTGCACCCTCGTGCGTAGACTTTACGAGCGATTGTTGCATGATCACTGTTTACAATTAATGGTCCGCTGATGCAGCGAGAGCCGCAATCGCACACGCCGCGGGGTTAAACCGCGTCGTGAAATAATACCTGTCAGCTTTACATAATACGAGTAGGTACAGTGCGGAATTAAGACTACTTGATACCCTAACGCTCATATTCACAAACATTACTATGAGGTCTCACAGTGTGCGTGGACGCACAGGGTGACACGAAAACCGATCACAGAGCTCTACTCAACGCTGTGCGTCCGATTTGCTGCTTCACTTAAGCAAGCATCGTATGTGAATACGGGCGTTAGTAATCCACATCTGCGTGCTCTCCCCCTAGATACAAACTGAAGTGCGACCGAATTTTGCGGGTTTTAAAAAATCGCGGAAAGTAGTTTTTATGTGGTAACAGTTTGTTGTGCTCTTTGTGCTGGTAAAAGCTATCAGCTCTAATGCGTCCGTCACCAGTGTCGGTGGGTCACGTGGTCGCGTTAGCGCTGCACCTGCGCGCGCCGCTCTCGCACCCGCGCCCCGCGCCGCCGCGCCGCGCGCTGAGCAGGCGAGTGTCGACCTTAGCTCCTAGACTTTAGGGGTGATAGTCGCAGGACGAACGGCCGGTCATAGGACCACAGTCGCAAAGCGGTCGGCAACCGCGCGCCGCATGCTACTACAAATCACATCGCGAGTGTAAACCTTAGCGCGGAGACTATAGGGGCGATTGTCGCAGGACGAGCGGCCGGGCATAAGGACCACAGTCGCAGAGCGGTCGGCAACCGCGCGCGCGATCGTGAATTGTTTTACATACATAATAGTAGCAGGCGAGTGTGCACCTTAGCGCGTCGAATATAGGGTCGATTGTTGCAGGACGAGTGGCTGGCCATAAGAGACACAGTCGCGCGGCAACCGCGGCCTGCGCGATCGTGAATTGTTTTACATACATAATGCAGTAGTAGGCGAGTGTGCACCTTAGCGCGGAGACTATAGGGGCGATTGTCGCAGGACGAGCGGCCGGTCATAAGAGCCACAGTCGCGCGGCAACATGAAATGTTTTATAATATACATAATGCAGCACAGGCGAGTGCCGACCTTAGCGCGTAGAATATAGGGTCGATTGTCGCAGGACGAGCGTCTGATAATAGGACCACAGTCGCGTGGCAACCGCGGCCTGCGCGATCGTGAATTGTTTTACATACATAATGCAGCATAGGCCAGAGTCGACCTTAACGCGTAGAATATAGGGTCGATTGTCGCAGGACGAGCGGCTGATAATAAGACCACAGTCGCGTGGCAACCGCGGCCTGCGCGATCGTGAATTGTTTTACATACATAATGCAGCATAGGCCAGAGTCGACCTTAACGCGTAGAATATAGGGTCGATTGTCGCAGGACGAGCGGCTGATAATAAGACCACAGTCGCGTGGCAACCGCGACCTACGTGATCGTGAAATGTTTTACTTGCATACATAATGCAGTAGTAGGCGAGTGTGCACCTTAGCGCGGAGACTATACGGGCGATTGTCGCAGGACAAGCGGCCGGGCATAAGGACCACAGTCGCAAAGCGGTCGGCAACCGCGCGCCGCATGCTACTACAAATCACATCGCGAGTGTGCACCCTCGTGCGTAGACTTTAAGGGTGATAGTCGCAGGACGAACGGCTGAGCATAAGAGCTACAGTCGCGCGGCAACCGCGGCCTGCGTGATCGTGAATTGTTTTACATACATAATGCAGTAGTAGGCGAGTGTGCACCTTAGCGCGGACACTATACGGGCGATTGTCGCAGGACGAGCGGCTGGCCATAAGGACCACAGTCGCTCGGCAAATGCGCCCCGCGTGATTCTATAACTCACATCGCGAGTGTGTACTCTCGTTCGTAGACTATAGGGGCGATTGTCGCAGGACGAGCGGCTGGACGTAAGAGACCAGTCGCGCGGCAACCGCGGCCTGCGCGATCATGAATTGTTTTACATACATAATGCAGCATAGGCCAGAGTCGACCTTAACGCGTAGAATATAGGGTCGATTGTTGCAGGACGAGTGGCTGGCCATAAGAGCCACAGTCGCGCGGCAACCGCGGCCTGCGCGATCGTGAATTGTTTTACATACATAATGCAGTAGTAGGCGAGTGTGCACCTTAGCGCGTAGACTTTAGGGGTGATTGTCGCAGGACGAACGGCCGGTCATAAGAGCCACAGTCGCGCGGTAAACCGCGTCGTGAAATGTACCTATTAGCTTTACATAATACAGCGCCGAATTAAGACTACTTGATACCCTAATGCTCATATTCACAAACATTACTATGAGGTCTCGCAGTGTGCGTGGATGCAATAGGGTGACACGAGAACCAATCACAGAACTCTGCTCAACGCTTTGCGTGATTTGCTGCTTCACTTAAGCAAGCACCGTTTGTGAATACGGGCGTTAGTAATCCACATCTGGGTACTCTCTCCCCTAGTCACAAACTGAAGTGCGACCGACTTTTACGGGTTTTAAAAAATCGCGGAAAGTAGTTTTTATGTGGTAACAATTTGTTTCGCATAAAAACTACTTTCCGCGAATGCGTGGTCTCTTATGGTGGTAAAAGCTATCAGCTCTAATGCGTCCGTCACCGGTATCAGTGGGTCACGTGCTCGCGTTAGCGCTGCACCTGCGCGCGCCGCTCACGCACCCGCGCCCCGCGCCGCCGCGCCGCGCGCTGACCAGGCGAGTGTCGACCTTAGCAAGGAGAATATAGGGGTGATAGTCGCAGGACGATCGGTTGGCCATAAGAGCCACAGTCGCAGAGCGGTCGGCAACCGCGCGCCGCATGCTACTACAAATCACATCGCGAGTGTAAACCTTAGCGAGGAGACTATAGGGGCGATTGTCGCAGGACGAGCGGCCGGGCATAAGGAGCACAGTCGCAGAGCGGTCGGCAACCGCGCGCGCGATCGTGAATTGTTTTACATACATAATAGTAGCAGGCGAGTGTGCACCTTAGCGCGTAGAATATACGGGCGATTGTCGCAGGACGAGCGTCTGATAATAGGACCACAGTCGCGCGGCAACCGCGGCCTGCGCGATCGTGAATTGTTTTACATACATTATGCAGCAGTAGGCGAGTGTGCACCCACGCCCATAGACTTTACGGCCGATTGTTGCGAGACGAGCGGTTGTTCACAAGGATCACGGTCTACAAATGGTCCTCTCATGCAGCTAGGGTAAACCGCGTCGTGAAATGTGCCACTCAGCTTAGATTTCGCACTAATCGAGTAATTTAGTACAATAACTCGCTTTTAGTAATTAAACTGCTCGCTACTGACCATTAAACTTTTTTTTTCACACTTGGGTCGAATACAGTTTGAAAGTAATTAATGGTTTTTGTATGAACTCAACTAAAACGCCCGATATGGACTCGTTTAGCCGATGAGTGAGTGAGCAGGAACGCGTGGTGGGGGGTGCTCCTCGCCTGTCAGAATATACCATAAAGATGCTAAAAGCAGCTGTCAACTCCCGACTTTTACGGGTTTTAGAAAATAACAATGTTTTAAAAAATGGCGGAAAGTAGTTTTTATGTGGTAACAGTTTATTGTGCTCTTTGTGGTGGTAAAAGCTATCAGCTCTAATGCGTCCGTCACCGGTATCAGTGGGTCACGTGCTCGCGTTAGCGCTGCACCTGCGCGCGCCGCTCTCGCACCCGCGCCCCGCGCCGCCGCGCCGCGCGCTGAGCAGGCGAGTGTCGACCTTAGCGCGTAGAATATAGGGGCGATTGTCGCAGGACGATCGGCCGGGCATAAGAGCTACAGTCGCAGAGCGGTCGGCAACCGCGCGCCGCATGCTACTACAAATCACATCGCGAGTGTAAACCTTAGCGAGGAGACTATAGGGGCGATTGTCGCAGGACAAGCGGCTGGACGTAAGAGACCAGTCGCGCGGCAACCGCGGCCTGCGCGATCGTGAATTGTTTTACATACATAATGCAGCATAGGCCAGAGTCGACCTTAACGCGTAGAATATAGGGTCGATTGTTGCAGGACGAGTGGCTGGCCATAAGGACCACAGTCGCGCGGCAACCGCGGCCTGCGCGATCGTGAATTGTTTTACATACATAATGCAGTAGTAGGCGAGTGTGCACCTTAGCGCGGAGACTATACGGGCGATTGTCGCAGGACGAGCGGCTGGTCATAGGAGCCACAGTCGCAGAGCGTGCGGCAACGCTCGCGCGATCGTGAAATGTTTTACATACATAATAGTAGTAGGCGAGTGTGAACCCTCGCGCGTAGACTTTACGGGCGATTGTCACGAGACGAGCGGCTGATCATAATAGCCAAATTAAGTCGCACAGCGCGCGGCAACCGCGCTCACGTGATTCTACAAGTCACGCCGCGAGCGTAAATCGCGTCGTTAAATGTTCAGCTTTACATAATACAGCGCCGAATATTAAGACTACTTGATGCTCTAACGTCTACCTTGACGTCCACCCACAAGGTGGACCGACGACCTGACAAAGGTAGCAGGAAGGCGCTGGATGCAGGCCGCTACCAACCGTGCGATGTGGAAGTCATTGGGGGAGGCCTATGTTCAGCAGTGGACGTCCTGTGGCTGAAATGATGATGATGATGATGATGCTCTAACTAAGTAGTCCAGCACCTTAGTTACATTCGCTGAATTCGCGGAAAATAGTTTTTATGTGATAGCAAATCAAAGCGCTCCATGAGTTCTTAACCTAAAACCTCAACAAACTTGTTTTAATTTGCAGTGTTCAATCTCCAGTGGCGACATCTACGTGGGCGCTGGAACAGACGGGCGCGTCACACGACGGTGACGTCGATTCCGGCTCCGAAGGTATGTAATGTATACTAATACCTATATCTTTAAAGCGCAGGCTGTCTGTTTATAAATAGCGCACCAATGTTCAGTCGGTCTGTTTTACTTGAGGTGTCACCTTAAACATACGGTTATGATGTCTGCTGTGCAAATCATACGTTCGCTTCAACCAAAAGACGTCCACTACTGTTGGGCAAGGACGTTCACAACAATAGAAACAGCGCTGCACGTTTATTCGCTTTCTGCGAATTTCATCAAACGGTTAGCCCATCAAGTGATAGATCAGCCTGCATTACGTTTCCGCTACGTAATCACCACTTACGCCCGATTCCCATATTCAATCCTTGTCCAAATCCGGATTACAACTGTCAAATTGAATTCAGTTTTAGATTATATTTCCAAAATTTTCAATGCATTCACACTTTAATATTGTTTAAATAGTCTTATAAACAATATAAAAATGTAAAAACATCAAAAACCGCAGTTATTTTGGCCAAAAACATTAAAATTTGACAGTTGACAATCCAAATCCGTATAATTTGGATTAGGATTGAATATAGAAATCCAGCATTAGTCTGCGGGCACGAAATTGGCGACGGTCAAGCGATAGCGACGCGACGCGACGGCGATGAGGAAGGAGTAGTATTGCGATCGTCCCGCTCCGTCGCCGCCCGTCACCATATACTGTCTATGTTGTTGTAATTTCGAACTCCTCCTATGTTCTTCTGATTAATTTCGTTGCGGGTCCAATGACAGTTTAACTTTCCCCCGGGACAAACTTGACCTTCATTGGTTGGGTTGTTGTGGCGGTCAAGCTGTAGATCCTGGCTACACAGGAGTTGCAGTGGTGGGAACGAGAGGTGGGAATAGTCCCGTTTGTCTATGTTGTTGTACTTGTATGCAGACTCAAAAACTTCTTTGGCTCAACAACCATCAGTTGTAAGATCTGTGCCCATCGCGCACGCCCTGAAGTCACATATTGTTTTCCGGTAATATTTAATTGACGTTTACTGCCTACTTAGTGAAGTGTCACACAAAACTATGCACAATCCAAAAAAGCCAAAGGTCACAGAGGAAAACGAAGTGGAAAAAGGAAACCTGCAAGCTAATGTTTGGGAAAAGATCATTTACCTTCAAGGGGCCACTTATCTACAATAGAATCAATACCTTACTGGATGTGGTACAACTAACAAGGCGTAAATGTAAAAATGTACTCACCAAATGGTTATATAACCTAGATTACACGCATACAGAACTCTTAATTACATAGCTTTGCCCGCGGCTTCACCCGAGTAAAATTTCGTTTGTCACAAATCGATCGTCATAAATTAAAGCCTATATGTTATCCTGGGTTATCAGCAATAATACTGTAAAGTTTCATCAAAATCCGTTAAGTAGTTTTTGCGTGAAAGAGTAACAAATATCCAGACATCCAAACTTTCGCATTTATAATATTAATATTAATTTTAGTTGGAAGTAGGATTCACACAACCAGCAACACAAACACACATACACTACAATTATTTGAAATTACACTCGGCTATCACATTCCATTGCTTCTTCTCTTTAACTTTGTTCTATAACCTTAATGTATTACATAATCAGATGAAAGAGACTGGATCCCACAACACAGGGAATCCTAGTGTGGGAACCAGTGCCTTACTTTATGTGCATGCAAAGTTTTGAAATAAATAAATTTTATTTAAAAAAAAAAAATTATTAGCTATTATTAAAAAAAAACGATTTTTAACCACAAACTAAAAGCTAAGACTATGTAAAATTGTGCATAACACAGTGTTATCATAACAGGTGTGCCAGAAGGTGGTGACGTAGCTCGCGAGCTAGCAGCATTAGCTCTGCTACGAGCGAGACTGCCCAACGCCGCGTCCGCGCTCGCCGCAGCCCTGCCGCGTCCGCCGCCACACATAGCCCAGCCGCTACAGCAGATCCTGCAGGTAACATATACGCAGGTGAAAAGGGTCCTACTGGGAACTTAAATGAAAGAGTGGACTGTATTTCGATAGGGCTGGTTTAATAGCCGTTTACAATTAGGTTTAAGTACTAAACTAAACGACGTGGTGATATAAAATGGCGATCGCGAGTTGGAGGTCCGAATGAGTAGTACGTGCTATGTATGGCTGGGGGCCCAAGCGAGTGTGTGGCGCGCTCGGCGGACGGCGCGCTGCTCGTGGTGCTGGGATTCCTCCCGCACGTCTCCTCCCGTGCGTCAAGACCGGTCCGCGACAGCAGGTGTAAAGCCCGGTCTGTGAGCACGTAGAATTTTGTCCAATGACCCCAAGCTACCCATCCTTATCGCTGCGCACTCACTGCAGGCGCCCGTCGCACAGTCGCGACAGCAATATAATTACGCGCGAGCGATAAGGATGGGTAGCTTGGGACAAAATTCTACGTGCTCACAGACCAGACTATAGCAGAGGGTGGTGCTAGCAGCGTTGGCTTTGTTACGAGCGAGACTGCCCAACGCCACACATAGCCCAGCCGCTGCAGCAGATCCTGCAGGTAACATTACGCAGGTGTAAAGCCCGGTCTGTGAGCACGTAGAATTTTGTCCAATGACCCCAAGCCATATCGCTGCGCACTCACTGCAGGCGCCCGTCGCACAGTCGGGACAGCAATATAATTACGCGCGAGCGATAAGGATGGGTAGCTTGGGGTCATTGGACAACATTCTACGTGCTCGCAGACCGGACTATAGCAGAGGGTGGTACGTACGAGCGAGACTGCCCAACACCACGGCCGCGCTCGCCTCACATAGCCCAGCNCTAAATGATTTTCCTAAACTGATTTATTTAAAAGGTTTTATGTGTAGGGCCTACACATGAAACCTTTTAAATAAATCAGTAGGCCTACCTACACTGTAGGCCTTATTCGAACACGGTGTTTTAATAAGCCCTATACAAAAAAATAATATTGTTTTTTTTTATTATATTTTTTTGATAATTTAAGTAGGAATCATTACTTTGTTACTATGAATATTTAATTTTATTTATAACTAGCGGCCGCCCGCGACTTCGTACGCGTGAATCCCGTTTTACCCCCTTCATCTATCTTACGCGGTTTAGATTTTTTCATAAAAATGTTTTTTCCCGCTAACTCCCGTTCCCGTGGGAATTTTGCAATATCCTGTTGTAACTAAGCTTTGAGTTTACTAAGGTAGGTACCTGCATGCCAAATTTCAAGCGTCTAACTTAAGCGGTTTAGATTTTTCATACAAATGTTTTTTCCCGCTAACTCCCGTTCCCGTGGGAATTTTGCAATATTCTGTTGTAACTAAGCTTTCAGTTTACTAAGGTACCANCCAAACTGCGGAAAATGGCGAAGGAAATACATGATTTAGCATGAATTATCATGAATTATATTAACTACTTATTTACCTCTCAGTGTCTTGAGGTAAGTTAAAAAAGCACATTCTGTGTTTTTATTATTATTTAGACAGTTAAATACTGCACAGTATTTAGTACACCATTTACTTTATTTCCTTCCATCATACACAAGAATACGCGTGCGTGAGTCAATGTTCGCTCGTGTGTGAGGCCTTGTCGAATAGTATCCTGCGTGGGCCATCGTGTGTGTTTTGTTTTCGATGTAAACTCGCGGAGATGAACAGGCCTGACTTGACCTTTATTAGTTGGGTTTTTTATTATGGTGGCCATACACGTTAGGGTTTGCATGATGGTTACGACCGTACATGCTTAACCGACAGGTATAACCGAGTTATCTATAGCTCATACACGTTAGGGTTTGCATGTACAATCTAAATTTATTTAACTCAAAGGTGACTGACTGACTGGCATAGTGATCTATCAACGCACAGCCCAAATCTAGCAGTAACATTAAGATTTCTTGCAACAGGGAGAACACATGAGTGTCTTAAATACTCACCACCATTCACTGCCACAGACTATAGGAGACTGAGAGAAAACTGTGCATGCAAGCATGAGCGGGCGCACACACGCTCGGTTATGCATGTGCGCAAACATAACCGAGCGGCAAAAATATCTTTTTTGATATTCGTTAGGTTGCATGTACACGCACCAATAACTGTACAGTTTTATAACATACACGCTAGGGTTTGCATGTCGGTTAAGCATGTACGGTCAAAACCATCATGCAAACCCTAACGTGTATGGCCACCTTTAGACTGCATCTCACTTAAAACCAGGTGCGATTGCGGACAAATACCTGCCGCCTTGTCTAGCATAAAAAAAAGCTGCAGATCCTGGCTGCACAGAAGTTGTCAGCAGTGCGCGGTCAGAATAGTCCCATGCTGCACAATCATTGTTATCAAGCTTCAATGTCCCACAGACGTCTAACGTAACTACAGACCAACGATATTAATGTACTTGTAATCATGGCATCTTTCTTTCCAAACAATCAAATTGATTTAAACTAACCAGCTCCCCGTCTGTCATCAACTGCATTTGAACCACTTTTGAATTGCAATTTATTAAAATTGTTGTGGATTCTATGGATCGATTCTAATAATTTGTTGTGACCAGCACATTAGATTCACATTTGAATTTTTATACGTTTCTCAAATGGGAATCCATCCATTTTAATGACAAATCAATCGACTTTAGTATATGAAATGCAATTTTAGGGTTAGATTAGATTTATTTTATTCAATTTTAATTGTATTTTAATTAATTTTGACATTATGTATTGTGTAATAATTTTATTTATTTATTTAATCTGACACTTATATTAATTCTAGTATGTGAAATGAAATTTTAGGGTTAAATTAGATTAATTTTATTTTAATTGAATTGCAAATTGTGTGAATTTTAATGTCTAACAAAAGACAATGCCGGAAATTGGCGTCTTTTTTTTTTCGCGCGGCCATCGACCAAACCATGTTTTTTGGATACAAAATAGTGTAATAAACCAAACTTACTATTACATGTATACCTCTAAACTCAGTCTGAACTGAGTTACGAGCATTAGAAGTTTGATGATTTACATACTAGATTTGCTTTTTGCGCGCAAGTTTTGTAAGAAATTGCAACAAAATAGTGACATTGTATGTGTACAAACAATACCATCCATTAAAGGCTCTAGACATCAGTGTGGAGTAGAATCAGCGCNTCTAAACTCAGTCTGAACTGAGTTACGAGCATTAGAAGTTTGATGATTTACATACTAGATTTGCTTTTTGCGCGCAAGTTTTGTAAGAAATTGCAACAAAATAGTGACATTGTATGTGTACAAACAATACCATCCATTAAAGGCTCTAGACATCAGTGTGGAGTAGAATCAGCGCAATAAAAAAATAGCGCAATATTTTGATTGCAATTTCTTACAAAACTTGCGCGCAAAAAGCAAATCTAGTATGTAAATCATCAAACTTCTAACGCTCGTAACTCAGTTCCGACTGAGTTTAGAGGTATACATGTCGTAGTAAGTTTGGTTTATTACACTATTTTGTAATCAAAAAACAAAGTTTGGTCGATGGCCGCGCGAAAAAAAAGACGCCACCTTCCATACAAAATCTGGCATTGCCATTTTCCTATACAATGTATTTTGTTTTTGGAATAAATAAATTGAAATTGAATCATTTTCCAGTTGGCAGCCCTGCTCCAATGCCGCAACCACGCCCTCATCGACGTTGAAACCGCGTTAGAAGCAGCCGAGGGCCACAGCACCGACAAGGTCGGCAAGCGACAACTGGTCCCCGTCTCCATGATCCCCAAGCGAAGCCCCGCCAAGCAGCCAATCAAGATACCCCCCAAAGTCAAGGAGGTCCCGCTCAAAGTCTTCCACCAGGTCGAATGTAAGTCCACCAGTGATCTGCCCTTCTTAGACCCGCTCAGGCTCCGGACAGAATGACTAAGGCACAAACTACTGCTGTACAGCTATTACCATTAGGAATAAGTGCGAGTGATTCTATGTAAATACTCATTTTGTACGTTTATTGATCGTAGGATCGCCAAATTGACTGCCTTATGTCACCAATTTGCGGTTTCGAGTTGATCAAAAAAACTTCTGTGTGTACTATAATTTTCGAACAAAATTATGCATACCACGGGAACTCTTTTGAGCAAGATCTTTATTGACTAAGGAACGGTGTAAATAAATATTGGTGCATTAATAAAACAGAAAAAATATCAAAAGGAGTTGACAAGATGACCTCGGTCGGACGGCAGTACCTATTTATTTATACATCATGAAATATTTGACGATCAGAATCGTGTTTGGGAGTAGTGAATTATTGACCGATTCTTGTAAATCAACTATTGTTATTGCAAAAACAAATGACTAAATTAGAGTGTTCTTACATTATATGTTTAGTAAAATAATTTCCACTGTTTATACAATATGATATCTATTTAAGTAACTGCCGTACCAGATGTGTTTTAATATTATAGTCAATAATTTAAAGTCGATATTTAACCTGTCAAATATTGTATGATATGTATTCTATGTACACACTGTTAACTATCCATTTCCGTTTTTGCTCTCGCTCTCATCAAATAGCGATTCTTTGCGATAGAACGAGACGACATGACATGCAATGGATAGTTAATACTGTTTCCGATGGTACATATAATATCTGAAGCAGTCATAGTCATGCAGCTTTGTAAGTGACTCTACTGAATATAGTCCCATAATAAAGAAATTATGTCCTTTTATTAACAACTAATCAATTTAAGTCGGCCCCTTATTATAATAATTGAGTATTATTGCCGATGTAAATAAACTCTCTCTAACTACCTCTCTTTAAAAATATTGTGTGTTAACCAATAAACCAATATAAACATTTAATTTAACGAAAAATATTCAAATTAAAACGATGATGGCAGCACTGTGCCCGAAGTACATAAAAGCGCCTTATGTGCCACATATTGTTGTCGTTAATTATAAGTAAATGAATTATGTATGTGTGTATATATTGTAAACTGTTTCCTAAGCGAGTGAATGCCTTAAGACAATCTGTATTATTGTAAATGTATTTATATTATAAGAACTACCTTTAGGTCCATATTTATATTGATCAATATTATAATTTGAGTTTAATATCCGCTGTATGTATTCTAAGCCCAATACTTAATCCAAATTATGTAAAATGGCATGCATTTATGAACTTAATTTAATGTGTGGATGGATAAATGTACACAGAAATCGGAGAAGTTTCAATTACAATCGACAACCATAATCTCTATGTCTGTTTACCACTCCTTTAGTAAATGTTTATATAAATAGTTATTTTATTAAATCCTCAAAACAACTGACATAGTTTTTGTGATCTGTCAAACCAGCCTATAAACGGAGGAAGTATTGGAGTTAGGTCTATAATAAAATTCTAGAATGATATTTTGAATTTAAATCATGAATCTAATTGGATAAAGGTTTTTTAGAGATTTATGCAATTAATAGAGTAAATTAAGTTCAAGGAATTGGTAACATAATCAAATATTTCGTTGAATTTTAAAAATAGTACTAAATGTATTGTTAAGCATTTCTTTAATAGAAATAGTTTAAATGCATGTAGCCAATAGATAAGTAGTGCAATTTTTAATATTTGCTCGAAATATATTTGTGATAAGTCATAAATAAATAAGTAATATAAGTGATCCTATCAAGTGCAGTGTTCAAATGCTTAGTTTAAGTTTTGCCTTAGTTTGACAAAGGCGTTTTGCAATATTATTATTACATAAGCTTAAGTTTACATTAAGCAGCGTTATGTAAATAATAATTCGTTATTCCAATGGTGATGTGATTTCCTTGTTTTAGGGGCGAAATTTTAGGGTATACTAGTTATTAAATGATCCCCGTGTGTTGATTGTGTGTGATCACTTGGGCTAGCTCATGTATACAGGGTGTCCCAGAATGGGTGAATCAAACTGATAGGGGAGGTAGCTCTACTAATGTACTATACCTAAAAAATATGGCGATTTTTGGCGTCGAACCTTAGACCAGGCATACGGCTAGGCAACGTAGTCATGCAGGAGGATACAAGGAAGAGGGGCAGCCACAGTAGGTAACACAGAGTCGTTCAGGTGAGTGCCAGGAAGAGGTGCAGCAACCGCAGTTAAGGAACGGCTGGGACGAACAAGGATAGGCGCATCAAGCTCGTAAGCCTTGATAGGGTTACACTAGTTGAGGTGGCCCTTTTCAAGACTTGGAAGCCTGTGGGTAACAAACCATTGGACGTGGAGAGGGTCATTAATTATACGTATATTTTCTACTTTGCCGAACATTAGCTCGAGAACGGTTTGTCCGAAACATATGAATTTGGTCTTATTCAATGCAGGATTAAGTGCCCTTCAACCGTCATGAAGACCACTTTTTGATAGGGTAAGTCCTTTATGCGGTATAACCGGAAAACGGAAAAAATGCCTCTTTCGGGGGCCCCCACCACTTAAGCACAACTCCGTCGAAGTCGAAAACTTAGGAGAGTCTTAATGGGCAACCAATGAAGCCATTAAAACAATAAAATCTTTTGTAGGAATTATTTCCGATTTAAAAGCTAATTCTACTGGACTACTATGCTGGCTATAATTGCTTTGTTTGGAGTTTATTTGTACTTTTTTCTTATTAATATTAATTGTACATGATCGCTTCGTAAACAAACCCTTGAAAATAATGACTAGATTTCGAGTTTAAGCACTTTATTTAAAAAAAAAATCCAAACTCAATTTTTTTTTTTTCATATTTTTAGGGATAGTAGATTAGTAGAGCTACCTCCCCTAGCAGTTTGATTCACCCATTCTGGGTCACCTGTATAACTACAAGTCACAAACCTGGTAAAGAGCTTTACCGAGGTTTTGGCTAGGCAAATTATACCTTAACTACCTAACATATTTTGTCATAATGGTTTAGTACCAGTTGAAATATCAGTTAGGTATGTGTCGCTTGTTAAAATAGGACAGCGTAAAGAATAAATTAATGTGATATTGTTGTACAGTAAAGTAATTGTGAAGTTTTCTAACGGAATATTGTTATACTTGTATTTTATTATTTGCGTTCGTCATAGAAATGATATTGATTGTGGTTTGGTAAATAATAATAAACTAAAATTGCCACAAACTATTCGGATGGAATTATTAATATTAGGTCTAAACTAGAATCTATCAAATATGTGTTAAATGAAGTTGATGGACTGAAGCAAATTATTATTGTTATAAGCCTCTAGACGTAAGTCCAAAGAACAAATCGTTGTAGTTTATAAGAATTAAGAATTTATAAAAGAATTAAGTCAATATATTTTTTGCTTCCCAGTTAATGAAGTTTTATTGATTCTTGTGATTTTACCCAAAAAATAATGTTGCTATTATTATATTTATGTCGGTATATCATGAATAATGTTCATGTAAAAGAGCGCCCAAAAGAGAAGTTGTATTAATTTGTGTTAAAATCAAGTGTTCGTGAATGTGCATGAGTAAGAACAGTGTAATATCACTTCTCTAGTCCCGGACTAGTAGTCCGTACTGTCCTCATTAGTGCTACTGCTGTAATATAGTACTTTTTAAGCGGTAAGGTATTATTAATTTACTGAAACTCAATGTGAGGGGCTTTAATAGTCAAGTATTTAGTAAAATTTTTTAATTTTAAGGTTATTGTAAATTAAAAACTTAACTGTGTAGCCTAGTGCCTTTGCCTTTAAAAAAAATTAATGTGACAGATTATGTCAAAGTCAATTTTGATTTGTCAACAAAACGTAGTTTTTTTGTCAAAAAATTAATTGCGGATTAATTGGAGTGTTTATTGAATTAATTGCAAGAAAACATACATTTCGACTGTACGTTGCCGTAAAAAAAGTAACACCTATTAAAATGATTGCATTTCTAATGTATTATCGTTAATTGGTGCAACTTATATCGAAAACGTAAACCACCTGGAACACTCAATATTTATTCGATTTCGATTGATTAAACTAGCAAGAAAGTTGTAGTGTATACGTGTAATTACTTGTTAGAGCTGAGAATGGCGGAACAAGGTGAAAACAATGAAAATCCATTGGATATCGATGGGAGTAACTTCAACCCAGACACGTACTTAGAATGCCTGATGAAGTGCGCTACTTTGCGGCAAGTGATGGACAAAGAGGCTGAAATCGTTACCCAAAGTCAGTTCCTTCAGTCAGAGATGCAGACTTTGGTATACGAAAATTACAACAAATTCATTTCTGCTACAGAAACCGTTCGTAAAATGCGTTCAGATTTCAAGATAATGCAAGAAGAAATGAACAAACTTAGCGAGAACATCAATAAAATCACTACATTCAGTGGACAGATTTCTGAATCTCTTAAAGAGAGTGGGAATAATGTGAGTAGACTGTGTGGCACAAGGCAATTGTTGGATAAACTTCAATTTTTATTTCTACTACCTTCACAGCTGAACAAATCAATATTAGAAGGCCGATATACAGATGCCGTTCATGACTACACACATGCTCAAAGAGTGCTACAGAAATATGGAAATCAACCTTCATTCCAAAGCATTCAGACTGAGTGCTCTGAAATAATTTACGGCCTAAAGAAAACCCTCAGGGACAGGCTACTTAGCCCTGAGACGTCAGCCTCTGAAATTGCTGAGAGTGTAGGATTACTGAGACAGCTCCAGGAGACAGATTCTTCATTGAAGGAAATATTTTTGAGCTGTGCTGAGAGCAGACTGGATAAGCACTTGCAAACATTAAACAACATAGTTGACAGCACTGACATCTTAGAATGGGTTGAGAAATGTAACAACACCCTATTGGCTGACCTCGGCATTATCATATCATGTTACCATGAAATGTTCCAAGAGGACGACCACACTGACATCCCAGAGTTTGCTGATAAAATAATGCTGCAAGTGTTCCATCTATTTGAAGAAGTAGCTAAAAGACCAGAGAATATTGGCACTGAAATGCTTATAAGAGGCCTGGACAAGTTCTTCAGAAAACTCCAGGCAATGACAGAGATTATCTCAAGTGATACAATGTCTAACAAGGCTGTGGAAGTGGTCATCCAATGCATCAACCATAGAGCCACAATACAATATCAGTCCATACAAGCCCAATTCAAAGAAAGTCTGATGAAAGTGAGGCAGTCTTTAGCCAGTAAGGGTTCAGAGACTGCAGATTTAAAAGATATCTTAAATTCCCTACAAGTTTATTTAATGCAAAAAGTTCAAGCATCCCTCCTAGATCTAATGGCATTTCTGCAGAACACCCTTTCCTTTGGACTCAAATCCTGGTGTGCTAAAGCAGTAGCTGACACATGCTGGAAAGTGATCTCTGAAACAATGGCCAATCTCTCAGACATGGTGAAAAAGATGGCTTGTCTCCAAACCTCTAATAATAACATTCCATTTGAGCTGTTGCTCATTCTAGCCAAATTATGCTTAGAAATGCAGGAGAATGGAGTGACTACACTGCATAGTCATTTAGCTAAGCTTTTAGAAGAGGCTGCCCCTGGTTTGACTTTGGAGAATAGAGACACAAACAGTGTGATGGTTCATCTATCTACAGCTGCCCAAGCAGCTTTGGACTCTGAGGTGGTATTTATTGGTCAAACTGCAGCACAAATGCTGAGGGTGTCTGTGCTAGCTCGAGACTGGTTAAGAGCACCAGAGCCGAGAGGACCAAGAGCAGTGTGCAGGAGGGTGGTCGAGACTTTGGCCAGCGCAGACAGTGCTGCCTCACAATTGTTCCCAAGCAGTATTAAGCCCTCAAGTGATTCCAGTAGGCGGACTATCTGGTCTAGAGCGCCATCTTCGTTTTCGCCGATCAACCGAATATTTTCTGAACGAATTGAGGTATTTAGCCCTGCTGGGGCTGACAGGTCGGCTTTGTCCAATGGCGCGCTTAAAGTAGCACTGAAAGCATTGGTGGAGTGTGTGAGACTCCGCACTTTCGGCAGACACGGCTTGCAACAACTACAGGTTGATGTCCATTTTCTGCAGCAGAGATTGTCATGCATGGGCAATGATGAGAGGCTGCTGAATGCTTTGTTAGAAGATGCACTGGCTTCAGCCCAACTTAGATGTGTTGATCCTCAGCTAATGGAACCTAGTATTGTAGATATTATTTGTGAGAGAGGTTAGGCAATTTTAGTAATAATTATTCTAAGTAAAAAAATGTAATTCATATACAAATGTTTATTTATATTTTAAGTCAATTTTATTGAAATAAACAGACACTGTATGCACTGGTTTATCTTTTTACTTACATGAACACACACAAGCCCCCTATTCAATTCGCGCAACGGGTTTTCTTACAATATACATTACAAGTGATCAAGATTCCTGCTATTCACCCACAATAGAATGCTTTTAGGCTTCTGAAACCCATAAGCACAGGGCATTGGTTGATTCCAAGCAGTGGCGTAGCGTGGCTTTTCGCCGCCCGGGGCCGTCCGGAAATCCGCCGCCCTTTATTTTAATTATAAATATTTTAAAGTTTAAATATTATATTGAATGGACTTCAGGTACACTATTCACCTTATTTGTTGAAAGTCAAAATAAACTACCACGCACTACTTCAGAAGGAAAATACATTTAAGAGAAGCAATTGCTTGAAACCCACAGGAAGTTTGATTTTCTTAAATTTGCTCGAGTATTGCCGAAAATTCCCCTATTCGCCTCCCTAACTATTATGTAACACTAGGTGTATAACAATAAACAATAATAACAAGTATTAAAGTATTTATTTGTCATTTGAGAGTAAATATTATCTTAAATTATATACAGGGTGGAATTTTGTAATGCCACCTGGAGGGAAAGTACTCTTAATATTATAGATAGAAAATTTTTCTCAAAGAAAACATTTCTTTATTTTTGAAATGTAATAGAACTGCATTCAAAAATTTCCAAATATTTGCTTGCCACACCCGGGAATCGAACCAACTAAAATCTGTTAAAAATTACACTCTGTATTTTTATTACATCGATCGTTAGGGTTAAGTATAAGGATGAAATCTCTCTAACAAACTTGATAAATCAAATGAAAAGAAAACCATGAAATCTTAAATTATTTCAATTATGTTACAGAAAATTGTATGGTATGGTAGTGAATTTTCCAAAAATTTTCGAAAATCTTTGAATGCAGTTCTCTTTCTTTTCAAAAATAAAGGAATGTTTTCTTTCAGTAAAATTTTCTATCTACAGTATTAAGAGTACTTTCCCTCCAGGTGGCATTACAAAATTCCACCCTGTATAGTGCTCATTGAACTTAGAAGGCCAGCGCCACCATATTTTTTCTTGATTACTTTTGTTATAGACCGAAATTAAAAAAGTGGTTTGAAAAATGTATAATATGTATCGAAGCTATTTTTAAAAATAATTTGTTTGAATTCATTACATATTTGCAGCAAGTTACAGATTTAATTACTGCTAAAAGTTACCATTTTAGCTAATTTTGAATTTCGAACTTGCAGAATATAATAAATTCACGGTTTTAAAAGTAGCTTAGATATGGCTTTAACTATTTACAAACCACTTTTTTATTTCGGTTTGTAACAAGAGAAATCACGAAAGATTATCTGTGGCGCAAGTTTTAGAGGGTTAAGTAAGCTCCTTGAATATTTTTGTTACTATTACTTAAAAAAATAGATTAAAAATGTACTCTTCGTGCTTTTTTCAAAGCAAAATCTTTTACACAATCGTCGATATCAAATTGTATCTCATTTTCAATTGCCAGTATAGCTAGATTTATTAGTCTCAACGTAGACATAGTCGACCTTTTTTTTTCTTGTTCATGCAATGTTTTTTTTCTTATCCGCCGCCCCCTTTCATATGCCGCCCGGGGCCATGGCCCCCCCTGCCCCCCCCAAGCTACGCCACTGATTCCAAGGTCTATGACCTTAGGTCAAAGGGTTGTCCTTTTCATTTAGAACAAGTTAACTATTTACTTGTTCTATAAGTCGTCTGGAATAAATCGCTTTATAACGATAAGACCGCGTAACGTGCGCATTACCGCGCGTCTCGTATGTATCTTTCCTTTCTGCTTTTGTGTGGTGGTGTATAGTCAATTTAATTAAATCTTATTAATGTGTACCAGTCAGGTACTTTTTGAGTAGGTAGCTAGAGCTACTCATCCGTTCTGGGGAAGGTAAAACAAGTGCATTCAAAAATAATAAAATACCAATATAGTTTTTAGACAGTTTATTATAACCCATTAATCAAAATTGCATCATCATATTAAAAATAATGATATCATCTACATATATAAAATTTATGTTAAATGCTTCTAAAACATAAATCTCACGAGACACGGTCTACTGTTTTACTTTAGAAAATTAATTACATTTACAGTTAGTCACGAGAGTAAATACAATAAACATTATTTAAAATTAAAAACAACATAATATATTATTACCATTACAAACAGAGAATTTGATAAATATTTTGGTCCTAGTATACTATAAAATTTTAGGAGTATTACTGTAAATGAATGGCATTTATAGAATGCACTGCAGGGGCCGCTTAGACACTGGTCATGAGTGAGCAGAACCATTAGAATCGTGGGGTTAAATCTATCAATAAGCAAGCCCTCTACAATTTACAGTAAAACTCGTGTATTATCATGATGTTGTCAATGTATAACATGAACAAGATTTTAACAAACAGTAACCAGGAATTTACTTCCTTACTATCCATCTAACCAGCTAAAATGATAAGGTAATATACTTATGCAATAAATTTTTTAATTTCCAAAATATCATTTTTGGTCTTACTTTTTTATGGATAAAATCTCTTCAATTTAGGTTTTAAATTTTATTAATTCATGAAATCAGAAAAATCTGATTATATTAATTATTATCAATATTTCACTATATTATTATACCAAATCATACATTACAACAAAGCACTAAAGGTTCCATAATTGGGAAGCTCACAAAATTATTTATAATATTTATTAAAATCTACTTACATTTATAAAAACGTAAGCTCTTTTTTAACTACGTAATAATACAGTGAAAACGGTAGATAGATATGTGTGGTACAATAATTAAGATAAACCAAAGATAACAGGACTGTAAAAAATAATTGACAAGACATCTATTATGTAAGTAATGACAAACTAATTAAATCATCAACAATCAAGTTTAGTCATTGTTGAGAATTGCACTGTTTGAAAATAACTCAAATGTTTGTAATTCTTAACGCTAATAAAATATAAATAGTTAATCTTATAGATACATACATATAACTACCTAATTGTAGAACAAATTGACAAAATATTCATCTAATGAAGTTCTGCAATTTACAAATACATAGACAAATCAACGCGTTACAAACCCACTAAAATATCGTTATACCTGATGTTGTTATGTAACTTAGTCCACTGCTGTGTAAAAATATTTCTATGTTACAATGGTCCATATGTTACGTCATTGTGAGCGTTGCATGCGCGATTTCATCTATAAATATACAAACTAGCGATTCGCCTAACATACCTCTTAGCTTATCATTTCCGAAATCCTCCAGGGAAATGTTACTCAGTCCAATCTAGAAGCCGGCCCGAACCGTCGGATCACTTCTTAGATTTCTCCATAAGTTTCCTCATCTTCTCCGGGACGGGCACTCCCTTGTGGGCGGCGTATCGCCTCAGCTTGGCGTTGATCGGAGCGCTCCTCGCGTCCGTCTTCTCGCTGCTTTTGGGCGACTTGCGAGGTTCGTTAGGCGTTTTGGGTTCAAGTTTCATGCTGGATTTCCGTTTCGTGGGCTGCGCGGTTTTGGGTGCGCCGACGTCGCTTTTGACGCTGGATTTCCGCGAGTCGGCACTCGGGCGGGGCTTGGCTTGCACGCCGGACTTGCGGGGCTTGGCGTCCGGCGGCGGCGGCGGCGGCGGCGGCGAGCGGCGGCGCCGGACGCGCGGCGGCGTGTGCGCGAGCGTGGTGTGGCGCGCCAGCAGCGCCGCGCTGCTGAATAGTTGCCCGCAGTCGCACCTGTGCTCGACTTCTGTTGTTCCTGAAAGTAGGTTTATTATTATAACAACCGTTGTGTGGTCGATGCGATGGTAAGTAAATTTTGAACTTGTGATATGTGTGTACTCACGTTTTCTGACTTGTTTCGCGGGAGATGGTTTCGTTTTGAGTTTTGCTCCGACTGATTTTCCTAATGACTTTCTCTTCGCTATGCTGCTGAGAGATTTCCGTTTATCCGCCAATGATTTTCTCTGTATCTTTTTCGCGGGCTCCTTTGACGAGGTCTCTGGAATATTCGACTTTGGAACTTTGTCAGCGGTGTTTTTGGGGAAAGAGTATTTGACGTCGCTGTCGTCGGAATCGGTGGAGGGCACCGGTTCCAATTTTGGGGCTTTGGCAACTGTTTTCGAGGTTGTTGGATTGGCCGGCGTCACTTTGTTCTGGACAGCTTTGGCCTTTAGACGCGGGACTTTTAGAGGATGCTGTAACGATATTCGTCTTGTAACTAAATCTTTTGAATTCGGTCTTTCGATTTGGAGAGAATTACGCTTATTCGCTCTGACTTTCATGAACAACTTTCCTTCGTTGTCTTCAAACTTGTAATCTGGGTTTAACATGTACCGGACTTCGTCATCATCACTGGACTCCGCAGGTTTAGGGAGTTCTGGTTCGACGACGGGTGGTGGTAGATTGGGTTTGTGCCGTTTAGTAACAGTAGGTGCCACTTTATCTTTTGATGGGGTCTTCTTCCGCAATGTGTCTTGAACACTCGGTTTCACCTCTTTATCTTCTACTTTTTTAACTTTAACAGGCACATCTGGGACCACCTCTGCTTTAGGAAGATTATGCTTGATAGGTTCAGTGGGTTTATTGTCTTCTTTTTTCTCTTTTTCGTGATTGGGTATTGGAGATTCATTTAGCACCACTGGTGTCGTTAATTTTACATCACCTTTTTCTGCAATCTCTGTTTTATTTTCAACTTTGTCTTTGATTTGATCTTTTGGTATCTCTTCAGCAGGCTTTTCCTTAATAACAACTTCGTCGGTAACTATTGTAACATCCTCATCTTCGTTTTCTATTTTATTTTCGTCTGTTTTAATTATTTCTTGGTCTTGACTGACTTCAGTCTCTTCAGATTGCTTTACTTGTTTGGAGGCCGACTGTCTCTTTTTTCTTTGACAAATTATTGTATGTTTAGTTAAAGAGTGCTCATTAGGGAACACCATGTAACAAAGGGAACACTCGTGTATAATATCTTTAGTTGACAATGAACTTTTGATACTTTT